AGACTAAGAAATTTAGAAATGTAGAATATAAAAAATTTAAAAACCTGAATCCTCATATTTTTAAAAGTTAGAAAATCTTAGAGTTGGTTAATTAAAATATTTGAAAGCTGCTACCACAGAAAAACGTCTTCGTAACACTCCATTTCCATTATTGTCAAAATCACAAACAAATACAGATAAATAACATAATATATTTCTTCGTCTTTGACTATCTTTGACTACTTTGATACTTTGACTATCATTAAAGTATTTATTACAATTCCAAACAACTTAAATTCCAAACGGATATTTTCTTCGTATAAACTATTGAACATAACCTCAAAATATCGTAAAACTGCAAGAAAAAGATCTAAAGCATTTTTTAAAATCTAATCCTTCTTTTCTTCTAGTCTAATAGGGGGATTGGCATCACAGTTCATTTAGCAGTTTGTATGTAATAAATATTAGGAAAAAGTCAGCTGTGTGCACACGTTGACTTTGTACGTAATCACGAAGGGGGTAGACGTAGAAGAAGCCTGTGAAATGAGGGGTAACTTTTGCGATCGCGCAGAGGGTTTGAGGTTTAAGTCGCTTTTAATAGCCAAGCAGCTGTCGCCGTATCTGTTTGTCCTCTTTTTATGGTAGATGTCTTCGACGAATAATGGCAAGAAATAATCTGGAACGAAAGAAGCCGCCGTCCTTTGCAATCCTTCTCGAATAAACGGCTTTTAACCCGTCCTTTCTCCATTTTGTATACCACTGCGTCAATTTACGCGCTATGATCGTGAAGCATGAAAATATCCATTCAATTATTAGTAATATTCTTAATAATAAATAATCTGCTGGTGCATCATATATTGTATATCTTATTTTTTATTTTTACGACATTTTCTGTTTCTTGTTTTTAATATGTGAACATTTTGAGTTTCGAAATTTCTGAGTTTTTTTATTTCTGGACTTCTATCTTTCGGTATTTTTAAATTTTTACATTTGTGAATTTGTGCGCTTCAAAGTTTCAATATTCTTAAATTTCTCTGTTTCAAAGTTTCGACTTTTTAAAATTTCGACGTTTCTATAGTTCTACGTTCCTGCAATTCTACGTTTCTACAGTTCTACGTTTCTACAATTCCACGTTTCTAGAATTCAACGTCTCCACAATTCCACGTTTCTACAATTCCACGTTTGTACAATTCCACGGCTCTACCATTCCAATTTTGTACAATTCCACGTTTCTACAGTTCCACGTTTCTAGAAATCCACGTTTGTACAATTCCACGTTTCTACAGTTCCATGTTTTTACAATTCCACATTTCTAGAAATCCACGTTTGTACAATTCCACGTTTCTACAAATCAACGTTTCTACAATTCCACGTTTCTACAATTCCACGTTTCTACTATTCTACGTTTCTCCAATTCCACGTTTTTACAATTCCACGCTTCTACAAATCCACGTTTCTACAATTCCACGTTTTTACAATTCCACGTTTCTACAATTCCACGTTTCTACTATTCTACGTTTCTGCAATTCCACGTTTCTACAATTCCACGTTTCTACAATTCCACGTTTCTACTATTCCACGTTTCTCCAATTCCACGTTTTTACAATTCCACGTTTCTACAAATCCACGTTTCTACAATTCCACGTTTCTACAAGTCCACGTTTCTGCAATTGCAAGTTTCTACAGTTCCACGTTTCTACAATTCCACGTTTCTACAATTCTACGTTTCTACATTTCTACTTTTCTGCTTCTGCACATTTCTACATTTCGACGTTTTTCCAGTTCTATGTTCCCACAATTCTAAGTTTCTACATTTTTATATTTCTAGATTGCTACATTTTGAATTTTCTAAATGACTAAATTCTTAAATTTCTGATTAACTAAACTGTAAGTTTGAAAATTTCTAAAGAATATTAGAAGTGATGTAAGTAATATTTTTTATTAATTTTTATTTGTACATGTAAAGAAGTTTTGATGTTCTGAATTTGTAAATATGAAGGCTATAATTTATTTCAGAATTAGTAATTTATGTTATAATTTCTCATCTGTGTTATATGCCAGTCAAAATAAGTGATATTAAGTCCACAAATGACAATAAATCTATATAAAATGATATTATATCTGTAAGTGATTATAAATTTGTATTAAATGATATTAAATGTAAAAATGACAATAAATCTGTATTAACCGATATTAAAAACAAACTGAAATTTTTATTTAGATAAGGATCTTTAACACGCGAGCTTTACCTTTGCAGTGAATAAGTATTATCCATTATTAATTACAAATGTTACCTATTAATTCAATGGGAATATCAGATACTATATTAAATATATTTAGATGTAATTTCTCGCATAAAGTATTACCTACATTAGGGAAAAAGCAGGGTAAATCTAGGTAGGCGGGTGAAACCGGTTACTCCTGTTTTTCAGTGATAAATGTTGCTATTGTTCAACGCACTTTTAGTATCCATTCTAGGATGTCATTATGTCAGTTTGTGCTTATCACTGCACGTAAACAAACAACAATTTGCATTTAAACGAGTCAAGAAAGTTTTAAGCTGGAAAAATTTGATTTTGTCTGTGAGTACCTAAGGAAGAGTTATCTGAGTTGTATCATTCTACATATTTTATATTATTTTCACACATTTACAATAATTTATTCAAGAAATAATATTGAAGAGTATAGCTTATTATTTGAAACAATTATTACTGAATGCTTAATGTTTTTGTAAAATTAAATTAAATTGTTTGGAGTTTTCTAGGTACATTATGTAAAATGTACAACTTAAGAAATTGATCTATTAAAATTATTTTTATTGTTCTACAGAATTATACATCATCTAAAAATTTAAAAATACAAATAGAAATGATGGATAATACATCTATATATTACTAATGAAGCTGTTTATTAATTTATAATTACATAAATACATTAAAATAAGTAAAAATATATCTAATATATAAATATATAAACAATATTATATTTGTAATAAATTTTGTTATTATTTATTGAAAATGTGATATTACACTTTTAATAGTGAAAATACCACATTACAATTTATTTAAATATTTTGAATATTAAAATTTTTTATTTAAATATTATTTTCGTTAAAAATATTTATATTAAATACAATATTGATATTAAATATAAAATTTCAAGATATTTTCTACTGAGAACGTCATTTTTATATAAAATTAGGTGTACGAATTAAATAGTTAGGTTAGGTATGCTCACTTCATATTTTAATATTTTTAATAAACTCTCTAAAAATTATACAGTAAAAATTTGTGAAGAGAAACAAAACCCTGTTGGCAAATATTGTAAAATCATAAAAAAAAATGTATGAAAAGAATTGGAAATGTGTGAAGAATTTTAAATACATGAAAACCTTGTTTTATCATAAAATTTTCAAAAATTCAAAAATTCAAAGATTCAAAAATTTGTGAAAATTATAAATCAAACCCCAAGACAGAGGTTCTCTTTATCACCGTGAAGTTTTATAAAGATTATTTTCGCAGTAAGTGTCGTAATGTTGGCAGGAAAATCGAAAATCGAAGAATAAGGACCACCCTATCGCGCATGCATAAGATCGCAGATTGATTATTCCGATACCGCACAAAATTAATTTCAAATTAAACTGATATCCATTATGAGAACGTTTCATCTGCATAATCTCAATATAATAACGGTAAAAAGAAGAGGTTCATCCGCTGTGAGAAAGTTTTTCTTGTACTTTCATCAACGCTTAATTCTTCGGTTCAAAATTGTATATTTTCGCGCCACAACTTATAACAAACTACAGTTCCTTTTTTAACGATGATAATTAAAATTGAATGTAAATTACAGTGAATATTTATGATTGAATTTTTCTTCATTATATTAATCAGCGATATTGTCTTTTTTATGTTACATTTATGATTTGGGTCAATTTGTACTTTCTGTTGTGAAACAAATTGGTAATTATCATGTAAATATGAACTCATTTTAATTATCGGCTCGTTAATTATATTTATCGCTATAATTTATTAGATAAGCGGGAGTCTGACCAGTAATATTTTTACTTTCATTGTGAGAAATAAATTTGAGATTAATATTTGTATTATTCAGAAAGACTAGTTCTAAACTGGCGGACAGTAAATTTTTATCTGGAGATTTAGAAAGTTGGGGAATTTGGAATTAAGAAATTTTAGATTTGGGAATTTGGTAAGTTTTAAATTTGCTAATTTACTGATTTGGGATTTGAAGATTTGCAAATTAGCGAATTTAGAGATTCGATGATTTGGGAACTTGAAGATTTGTGAATTTCAGATTTGGTAAGTTGGAGATTTAGGAATTTTAGAACTTGGGAATTTAGGAATTTGGGGAATTGGGGAATTTAGGAAAATTGGGAAGTCTGAGGAATTTGGGGTAGTTGGAAAATTTGGGGAATTTAGGGAATTGGGAATTTAAGATTTTGGGGAATCTGGAGAATTTTGGAAATCTATGGAATTTGAGAAATTTGGGGAATTTGAGGAATTTGACGAATTTGTGGAATTTGGGAATTGGGAATTTTGGAATTTGAAAATTTGGGAATTGGGGAATTTGAAAATTTGGGAATTGGGGAATTTGGAAATTTGGGAATTGGGAATTGGGAATTGGGAATTGGGGAATTTGGAAATTTGGAAATTTGGGAATTCGGAGAATTGGAGAATTTGGAAATTTGAGAATTGGGGAATAGGGGAATTTGGAAATTTGGGAATTTAGGGAATTGGGGAATTTGGAAATTTGAGATTTTGAGAATTCGGAAATTTGGAAATTTGGAAATTTGGAAATTTGGAAATTTGGCAATTTGGCAATTTGGAACATTGAAAATTTGAGAATTTGAGAATTTGGAACTTTGAGAATTTGAGAATTTGAGAATTTGGAAATTTGGCAATGTGGAACCTTGAGAATTTGAGAATTTGAAAATTTGAAAAATTAATAATTTAGGGATTTAGAGATCAATAATTTATAGGCTTAAAATTTCGAAAATTCCCATATATCAACATTTCAAGTATGAAACACTTCATATATTTCACACAATTCGAGCCAACGCTGTTTTAAACACTCGCTAAAATACACATTACAAATCCAAAACTCTGCCAAATACATCAATTAGGTATTACATCAATTGTGAAAATATAAAAGGTAATTAAATAACATAAAAACAACAGTGCAAAATATCTCCGAAATGCAATGAAAATTAAATTTAAAATACCGCTAAAATGTTTGGTAACGCTATATCTATAAATACTATTTAAAAATTGCAAATATTTTAAAATATTTGTTACACGAACAGGTTTACTTAAACAAATTAACCAATTTGCAAGAATATTTTTAATAGCTACAAGCGTCGAGTGTTCAGGTAAAAATATTCATTATGGTTGAAACAAGAACTATCGCAATGTGAACACAGCACATTAAATTGCCAACTATTGCTGCGGTGTTAGGAACAAATATCGCAGCTCCGGAATTCATCCATGGTTCCCATGTATTGTTTCTTCTCCTTGGATCAGCTAACCAATCAACAGGATGTTTAATCTGTCGCATCAGAATGTGACCATAGTGTTCCAGATAGAGGTCTAGGTCCCTCGCAATCTGTAAACAATTCATAAATTATAGACATTTATTTTTTGTCAAACGAAAAACAAAATTATTTAACATGTATGATAAACTTGGTAAATGACAGAGGACCTTCAATGTACAGAGAATTTATGTGATGCTACCTATTACTATTTTCAAATCTATAAATTAGACAAAGGAACCAACATGATTCCTAAATTTACAAATTTACAAACTTCTAAATTCTGCAATTTTTAAATTTGTAAATTTTCAACTTTTGAACTTTGAAACTTTTAAATATTTAAATTCTCAAATTTTAGATTTCCAAATACTTCAATTCTCAAATTTTAGATTTCCAAATACTTAAGTTCTCAAACTTTAGATTTCCAAATACTTAAATTCTCAAATTTTAGATTTCCAAATACCTAAATTCTCAAATATTAGATTTCCAAATACCTAAATTCTCAAATGTTAGATTTCCAAATTCCTAAATTCTCAAATGTTAGATTTCCATATACCCAAATTCTCAAATGTTAGATTTCCAAATACCTAAATTCTCAAATGCTAGATTTCCAAATACTTAAATTCTCAAATTTTAGACTTCCAAATACTTAAATTCTCAAATTTTAAACTTCCAAATTTTCAAATACTTGAACTTCCAAATTCCATACTTCTAAAAATTCTAAAAATCCCTAAATGCACTTAATTGCCAAATACTCAAAATCCCTAAAAGCACTTAATTTTCAAACTCTCAAAATTCCTAAAAGCACTTTATTTCCAAATTCCCAATATTGTAAAATCTCCAAGTTCCAAAAGACTTGATCAATAATATCCTAACATCTGATTTCAACAGGAAAGAAATAAATAACATTAAATGTATATTATATGAAGAGAGTTGTTCGTCCCATTTAGGCGTTAGATTGGCAACAGAATTAATATAAAAATTGTTAGTCGATTTTTGGCTTTATCGTTACTTCCACTTCCGCTGCGACCGTTAGAGACCGAAGATGTGCGTTAGTAGTTTAGATAGTTTTTCTTTCATATTATTATATTAGTCTGTGTTAATTATATTTTGTATTATCTCCTTATATTATAAAGCTTAAATATGGTTATGTACCTTTTTTATTCCATTGATATTAAACCTGAACATTATATCTTCCGCTTTATGAATCATGACATTTGAATATCACATAATTGCACTAATTTTGCCGTTTTCAATTTTAAAACGTGAAAAATGTTGAAAATTTATAGTGATCCTAATTGAATGACCAGGAATTTTAATATTTTCGTATTACTTACTCTGGGATATGCATCAGCGACGTTTTTTGTTTCACATGGGTCGTTTACGATATCGAACAAACATTCCGTGACATTGCACGTGGTGAACGCATGTCTGTAGTGATATGTCATATTCTGACACTGAACCGTTGCATCTCGTCGTAGCTGTATCATTGTACTTGGTTGTGTCACTGGACCACCCAAATGATAGGTGATACTTTGAGAAACAGAACTTCTTAGTACGACATCTGTATACGGTGGTATCTCTAATGTCCTTCCGGAATCTCCGTAAAAGCCGTCGTAGTAACCATTCTCGACTGATCCTTGAAAAATACATTTCAACGATTAATTTCTAATACCATTGTTTTTAACTTCTTCCCGTGCTTTGACGAGTCTTAACTTTACTCAAATTCCCAATTCCCCAAATTCCCAAATTCCCAAATTCCCAAATTCCCAAATTCCCAAATTCCTAAATTCCCAAATTCCAAAATTCCCAAATTCCCAAATCCCCTAATTCCCAAATCTCCAAATTCCCAAAGACCCAAATTTCCAATATTTCCAAATACCCAAATTTCCAAATTTCTAAACTCTCAAGTTTCCAAACTCTCAAGTTCCCAAACTCCCAAATTTCCAAATTCCCAAGTTCCCAAACTTCCAAATTTCTAAATTCCCAAGTTCCCAAACTCCCAAATTTCCAAATTCTCAAGTGCGCAAACTCCCAAATTTCCAAATTCTCAAGTGCGCAAACTCCCAAACTCCTATAATTCCCAAAATCCCAAAATTCCAAAATCACCAAATCCCCTAATTTCCAATATTCCCATATTCTCGAATTTCCAAATTCCCAAATTCCCAAATTCCCAAATCCCCGAATCCCCAATTCGCCAAATCCCCAATTCCCCAAATTCCCAAAATCCTAAATTCCCAAACCTCGAAATCCTTAAATTCCCCAAACTCCAAATTTCCGAATTCCCCAATTTGAAATCCCCAATTCCCCAAATTCCCACAATCCTAAATTCCCAAACCTCGAAATCCTTAAATTCCCCAAACTCCCAAAATCCGAAATCTCGAAATCGCAAAATTTCAAAAAATCTCAACTACCTCGTAATAACTTGAATCTGCTGTATATTGCTCCTTCAGTTTTCTGAATTTCGTCGATATTCAACAAAAGTTTGTCTCTGCCACGTCCGTATCCTTCGCTAAGTACCCGCCACAAATCAATACCATCGATCTGTCCTAAATCCTTTAAATCTCCTCCAGCTGCCGAGTAAAGTGTCGGCAACCAATCAGTTATATGTATTAATTGATTAGAAACGCGAGCTACTTTTTGTAACCTTGGTGACCATAGTGCTGCGACACTTCTTACACCTCCTTCGTATAAGGTGTATTTTGTCTGCAACGAAAAACAGTATACCTTATGTAACATGTGTACGTGTGAAACGAGACGAGTAAATTACTTCAAATTTACGCAAGGTTTCAATGTATTACGTAGTCACCCATAATTATCGTTCATTTTCTTGGTAAAAGTTTTATTTTGATCTTTTATATTAATTATAGGAATTTCGTATTAATCTTTTATTAATTGTATTGGTGACATTAGTACGACGTTAATTTTCTTTCTTTTTTGTTGATTTTGTATTAATTATATCAGTTGGGTTATGTCTGTGTTATCAGTTTTATGCTAAATGTTAATTATATTTTTCATATTAATTTTTATATATATATAAATAAAACACAAGTCAATAAATGGACAAAATTAACAAATATTTAAAATGAAGAAAATTACAAGCTGCAGATTATTGAATATTTAATTGTTTATGATTTTGAAATACCTTGGATGTATAGCAATATACATTTCATTTGTTTAAGACAGATATGAAATTATACAAACAAATAAATAGAGAAATAAGTAAGTGCCTAAACAAAGATATAAATAAATAAATAATCATAATTGAGCGTTTAATTTTCTAATTGTTAAAAGTTATGGAACCCTAAAAATTAAAAAAGTTATGAAACCATGTATACATATTACAAGATTTCATTTTAAAGAAAAAATATATAATTGCACAGCCAAATGTTTATGAGTGAATAAAGCAATACATAGATAGATATATAAACAAACGAACAAATAAATAAACGAGTTACAACTACTATAATAAATGTTAGAAGATTATATAATTTCTGAATGTTAAAAATCATGGTACAACATTGTATATTAATAAGTTTCATTTATTTAAAATATAATAGTTTATAGATATAAAATTAAATGCACGAATAAATGTTTCATATAATGAGTTTACTTCTAATTATGTAAGAGTATCGATTTTAGAACGTAATGTAATTAAATATGAAATATGATGTAAGCTTACCCCTCTTAGGGGATAGTTTGAGCCCCAATTTCTGTATCTACCGACAGATGCAGCTCCATTATCAGTCAGAAATAAAATCAAGGAATCCCTCAACATTCCTTTTTCGCCCAATGCGTGAACGATACGTCCGACCGAATCGTCTAATCTTGACACCATTCCTGATACAAACAGAAACAAAATTCATTTTATTTTTAATATTATAAAAACAGTTTTTTGTATTAACAATTATACTAATAATGACAACAATATTTATGCTAACAACAATAATTATTCTGATAATTATAACAATGATAATTGTTAGAATAGCAATTCTAATATTTAAATATTGCGGGAAAACAAAAAAGAAAAGGCTTCGTTGGGAGAAAGGGCGTTCGATGAGAAAATAGGGAAAAGAAAATAAGGTTGTGTAATAGGGAAAAACAAATGATTAACATTTCCGTTATTACTTTGTCTCTCCTCTTGTTCAGAAGTAAAAACATGTTGCATAGAAAGAAAAGTATTCAATGTCAATTAAATTTAAAGTTTTCTTCTTTTGTACTAAATAAATAGTTATGCAGTTAAAATAACCAATAGTTTGATTCCTTTTCTGCCTGTGTTACATTAAAAATAAAGTTAGAAGTTAACAATAATGTTAACAAGAATATAACGATAACTATGTTGATAACTATAATAACTTATTAATCGTAAAGAAGAGTAATGGCGGATAGAAAACAATGGCGGCAACTATTACTATTACAAAACGAAATGTCCTTTACGAAACAAGATAATGTACATATTATCTCTGTTTATAAAAGACTAATAACAAAACCAAGCTTTATGCATGTATAATTTCTTTATAAAAAGTTATTGCAAATAAAAGTACAGTAAGTATGTGTATAAATACTTTTTGACCCACTGTATGAATAAATATCCTTGAAGAAATTAAATAGTTTCTTTATTTACGTACTGGCATATTTGCGACGATTCGGTTCACGAATGTATGAAAACCTTCCATCATTATACTCATCTCTAGGTTGTTCCAAAGGAGCATGAACTGCTAGATGCGATATTTGAAGATACAGTGGTCTAGGGAGTTCGTGAGTTTCGATCATTCTCACTGCCTCTTTGGTGAATAAATCTGTCGCATATTCGCGGTTAATCCCGTGAGCTGGATCGTCACCACGATGTAAGTCGTATCCACTCATATTCTACGAACATAAATATAAAATACACATAGAGGAGTCTTAATTGTAATCACCATTAATCGATGGCTCATTCAAGACATTTTCAACTTTGTATTACGGGACGATATTGATTTTGAAATTTATATTGTTCATTTTACTTTGCAATTTATATTATTCTTCACATTTTGCAATTTATGTAAAACTGACAGGTAGAATGTAATGTGTTTACATAAATTATTTGTATAATATCTATACATATGTACTGTTTACATAATATCTGTATGGAATGTTTACATAATATTTAAACTGTTTATACATGTAATATTATACATAACATACTGTACATAATATCTATGTATATAAACTACATTATTAATTTGTATTTATTAAATATAATACGTTGCAATAAAATGCTTTTGTATGCAAGTAAACATCATAGAAATTTTGAAAAAATTATCTTAAAAAACAAATTACTTTTGCAACATATCAGTTGTTTTATAGTATGTACTACTTAAATAACATATAGAACACCTATTGTAATACTAACATTGAAAAATTGGTCTTGTTTCGTACCACAATTCTGTGTATGAAAAATTATTACAAACACATATTAAATATTATTACTACAAGTACATTTAATAATTTTAATGCCATTTAACTCACAAATTGTCAATAACCAATGGCATGGCTGCCATTTTACGACGAAAAGCAGCGCCATTTTGTTGTTACTGCGCTTAATGCTGTACCTTTAATAGAATTTACTAATACAAGCATTATTATACTTAATTTTTTGTAAAATTAGAAAGAAGTCTATGTTACAAAATTTCTTCTATATGTTTTATTATAGATCCTACTTTTTAGTCTTCCTAGTATTTAATTATTTAAATTATCAGTCTACATCACTTCCTAAAATCGAATTAAAGTTAAATCTCACCTGATTCGAATAGTGGTAATCGTAATATGAAATATGGCTGTTGTAAAATCCTAGAAAAAAATCGAATCCTCTGTGTAATGGCGTATACTGAGGTGTGTGATATCCCATATGCCATTTTCCAATTAATTTCGTCGTATAACCTAAATCTCGCAAATGTTCTGGTAATATTTTTATATCCAATGGAAGACCACGTGGTTCGCCACCACGTATACCATCGCCTTGCATTCCTAAATAAATCATTTACATTTTGAATTTTTATCTTTATAAAATATAAATTATTTAGCTATAAATATACTTCATATAAAGTATCAAATAACGTAATGGAAATGTTATCCATTTTTTTAATGAATTCAATAAGTGCTCCAAATATTTAGCATTCAAACAGAGAAATTTCTAAAGTCTCAAATTTCCAAATTTCTAAATTATCAAATTTTCAAATTCTTAAATTCCCAAATGTCTAAATTTTTAAATTTCTAAATTATCAAATTTCCAACTTCCTCAAATTCCTAAATTCTGCATTTTTCCAAATTTCCACATTTCTAAATATCTAAATTTCCAGATTTCTAAGTTTTTAAATTTCTATATGGATATTCATGTCTTCAACTTTCTACCAAAAACTCCAACAAAGGGGACCGTAATAAAACGGTTGAAGGTAGGAACAGTCATTTACTAATATACGTACCAATTCGTATTGGATAAAGTCCGGTTAAGAAAGCTGACCTAGAAGGTGTACTAGACGGTAGAACATAGTGTCGATTCAGTATAATACCATTATACCCAAGAGCATCAATATTAGGTGTTGGTATCTGATTTGATCCGTGAAAACCGACGTCATTCCATCCCTAGAGGATATCATTCATCAATCTTATTTTCTCGTTGCAACAAATTTATCTTATACGTACATGTATATAAATCTAGGTTTAATTTTATGTATGTCAAATCATGGCGTAAATACAACACAAAATTCGCAACTCCTTCAATTTTCAAATCTCAAAATTCCGAAAATATTAAATCCCCAAATCTCAATACTCTCAAATTCTAAAATCTCTGAGCTTATAAATGGAAAATCTACAAATCTTACGATTCTCAAATTTTCGAAATCTACAATTCTCAAATTCTAAAATTTCAAAATCCTCAAATCTCAAAACTCTCAAATATTAGAAACTCTAAATCTCAAAATTTTCAAAATCATGGACTCTAAACCCACAAATCTTAAAATCCCAAAATTCTCAACTTCTGAAAATCCGAAACCCCAAATCCCCAAATTCCCAAATCCCTAAATCCCCAAATCCCCAAATTCCCAAATCCCTAAATCCCCAAATCCCCAAATTTCCAAATTCTAAAATTTTAAAATCCGAAAATTCTCAAATTCTAAAGAGCCCAAATCCCCAAATTCCCAAATCCCTAAATCCCTAAATTCCCAAATCCTCAAATCCCCAAATTTCCAAATTCTAAAATTTAAAAATCCCAAAGTTCTTAAATTCTAAAAAGCCCAAATCCCCAAATTCCCAAATCCCTAAATCTCCAAATCCCCAAATCTCTAAATCCCCAAAATTCCAAATTCTAAAATTTAAAATTCCAAAATTCTTAAATTCTAAAAAGTCCAAATCCCAAATTTCTAAGTTCTAAAATCTTCAAAGTCTGAAACCCCTAAAAAATAAAACAAATGTCCTATATTCGTATCTTCCATAATTAATGCAACAAAAAGTACGACGGAATATAGCATAAGCACAGCGGAAAGGAAGACAAACATGATTTGACAGTTATGATGAGTCAGAAGCGCCAGCGTACTTATTCAATGAGGAATTGTAGATGATTTTCAAACTACGATAATTATCTTAACTAAGGCCAATTTTAATTTAAAACACTTTCATGTGCAGTACGATTATTACAAATTAAACGACCTAGACTGGCATAAGTGTTACAAAAATACGTAGTTTCATTTTATAGACGTCATTTTGTTATTCTCCTTTTTTTCCAAATCAACCGGATATTTACTCGAAATAAATCTATGTCTTTTATAGCAAAGTATAATATAGACTTTTAAAAGCATAAAACAGGTGATAATGTTATTGTCATAAAATATTAAAAATCTGAATAAGGTTAACAGAGTAATTTAGTTTCTTAATCGATTTAATGAGAGGAGCCATCGTTTGTCTTTGATTTTGACCAACTAAATACGTAAAGCTGAAAATTTCTAGATTCCCAAGTTTTCTAATTTCTAAATTCCCGAATTTTCGAATCCCTAAATTTTCAAATCCGTAAATTGTCAAATTTAAAAATATCAAAATGTACAAAGTTCCAATATTCAATTCCGAAATTTCTAAGAAAATAAATTTCTAAAATCGTAAATTTGCAAACCTATCTCATTTTCAAGCTTTTAGATGCCTAAGCCACAGTATTTCTATATTAGCCAATTCCAAATTCCTCCTTTTTCTAAATTTTCAAATTCCACTTCAAAGTAGGGTTGGAAGTTTTTCCAAATCCTACAATTTCTATATGTCTAAAAGCCTAAAATTTTAAATTCTTAAATTCTTAGATTTCTGAGCCCTCAAATTCTTGAATTTCTATAAACCTAAATTTCTTAATCCTCAAATTCTAAATCTCCCGATTTCTGAATTATTAAATTTCAAATTTTCTAATCTTTAATTTTCCTGATTCACGAGGTTCCATATTTCTAGATTTACAACTCTCCAAATCTTCAAATTCTCTAATCCTCAAATTCTTAAATTTTCGAGTACATAAAATCTCGAGTTTACAAATTTTGAAGTCCTTACATTCCCAAATTTGAGTTTCCAAATCTCTAATTTTTGTGATTCACAAAATCTTCAAATCTTCAAATTCTTCAATTTTCAAGTCCCCAAAACTCCAAACCCTCAAATTTTGACGTCTCTAAATCACAAAATCTCCAAATTCTCAAATCCTCAAATTGCACAATTTCCAAATAAACAAATTTATAAATCTCTACATTCTCAAATTCTTGAATTCTCATATATCTACATCTCCAAATCCACAACACCCCAAATTATGAATTTCCACAATTTCTACATTTCCAAATTTATAAATCTCCAAATTTCAAAGCATTCAATTCCTCAAGTTTCCAAAAATCCCAATTAAAAAGTGTACAAAATTAACAGTACAAAAACCTGTAAATTCGTATTTTTCAGAATTCTAAATATTCGAAAATGTAGAAAATTTAAGAACAACGAACGATCGACGTTTTCTAATTCTGTTGCTAGCGAAGAATCCTGCGGCGCTCATCAACGTACAATCAAACAACCTCTCGAGCAACGGACGCATCAATTATAATTAGATACCTATGCATTACTTCGCAAAAAGGTCTCGCAATTTTCTCAATTATTACAATTCATAAATAATGCTTTAGAATCATAATTTTGCAACATAATTCTGTCAAGAAATGAGACGAGAAAATCGCCTTAGTAGATACTCCTTACTGAGGAGCAACCGTCTGAATCATCCTTCCAACCCTAATTATTGCACTGCGATGTTCCACAATTTATCATATATCACACTCTACGAAGTAAACATAACTCTAGTGATTCACATTCGATCCCATAAATTACGTGTATGTATAATTTAACTGTGTAAATTACAAAGTAGACCAAGTAAATTGTATCATAAATGCACGTTCGCAATCTACTGATTTATTTAAAAATTTTCTTATCTATAAAAGTTATATTAAATTATATAATTTCGTTTTTTTCTCAACAGAGGATTTAATTATATTTTTTTACAGCTACCTTCACACTTAAGCCGTAAATTATTATACATTTTAATAACTGGAATAGCAAGGCTTTTTTGTGAAAAATTTCCATTGATTCTACACAGTGGTTTTTGGTTGGTGCCCCATCAAATATGGAAAGAGAAAAGCAGCATTTTCGGCATATTTTACTTGTTTACTATCGTAAAGGTAAAAATGCTGTTCAAGCAAGAAATTGTCAGATGTGTATAGAGAAGTATTAACAGAACGACAGAGCCAAAACTAGTTATTATTATTTATTCTGATCGCTACAGAATTTTTTAAACGGTAAAACCTTCGCTTCAAACGAGGAGGTGAAAATTCACTTGCATCAATTTTTTGTCAGCAAGCAACAAAAATTTTATGAACGTGGAATTATGTTACTATCAGAAAGATGGTAAAGTGTATTAGACCAGAATTGACAATATGTAATAGAATAAAATATTTATTCACTATAAGAAAATCGTCTTTCGTTTCCTCGAAAAAAAAAACGAAATTACTTTCCGAACAACCCAATAGTTTGCTATAATCTTACCAGATCATCTGCCATGATTACGATAATATGGGGTGCCGTTTCGTACAAACCAATCGCTCGTCCAACGCATAACATCAACAGCAACAGCAACGTACTCGAAAATCGACACATTTTTTTGCAAAAATTCGAACAACACAAAGAAAATTTTGACGCGATAAAAGAAAACTGGAACACCGTAGAACACTTCCTATTTCACACTTTCAGGCACAATTCAGAAATGACAGCTATTACGCCATTATGCTTGATGCTTATGAGAGAACTCCTGCGGGATGCAGAAGAATGAGGAACAGAAATAAATACGCTTACATAGTCCACCCACGAAAGAACATATCATGAATGGACCGTTGGGTAGAGAAGGGAAGGAAAGGGTAAGGAGCATACATCAATAATTACGGCAATAAAGAAGGTACATGTTTCAACTCGGTTGCTTCTCATGTTACCCATTATTCTGTCTAGTTACGTAATTCTATAGACTGCTTTTCTTATATTTTTAAGCATTATTTTCTGATCAAAATCATTATCGAAGTTAAGGGCTTCTGTCAAATAGATTACATTTTTAATAGTATTGCACTGTTCTTGTAACTTGATACAATATTAACTCGATTTATGAGCGCTCGGTTGGGTTTTAAATTATGTCTATGAACAAGAGATTACTATGCCACTTTAAGTCAAACAAATTTTCTCGAGCTATATGATATGGTTATTTGCAATGGGGCAGAAATGTCACTGAAGAAAAACTTCTTTACAAGGTAAAACGCTTTAGAAAAACAACTGCGCTGAAGAACCTGGGCGGCAGTCACAAAAAGTATGTACACATTAACGCGACATTAAATGAACTGATGATGAACAATTTGCTTATAATATTTAAATGATCTTTTAAGAATATTTCAAGTTCAACTTTGACGACTCTGACTCGTGAGGCACTTCGGCTGTGACCAGTTTTACTCAGAATTTTAATACGCATATGGAGTTCAAGTCCAATTATAATCAGAATAGTTAACGATTGCACAATACCAAATCGACATAACATTTGAACTTTCTTTCTATTTTAATTGCAGCTGTGATTAGTTCTGACACACCTGATAAATCACAGTGGAATATGGCCGGCAGTCTTGCTGAAAGCCATTCATCGAAGACCAATATATTCTTCCACAAAGAGGTTCCCTAGATTCTAAACCTCCTGTGGTGTACGAGCCTACAAAACCCACGTTCATCCGGCTGACAAACGCACTCGTACTCAAGCACTTAGCAACCACGCTCGTGCAGTATGCCTGAAGACCGAGACCCATGAAAGGATCCAAATCACTCTAATGCTTAGGTCACCTACATATCATCAACACTTAGAGTGAGGGAAAAAGGTTTTGCGACCCTGTTTTGCCAAATTACGGACTCTGATTGTATTATGGACCCCGAACTACTCTTTGGTAGAAACCTCCATCACCCATTCTATGCTGAGTCTCATCTTTTTGGATTATTCTTGATACAGATTTCTCGTAAACTTAATAATTTCATAAAGAACCTCCTTCTGTATGAGTCCAACTTCTTCGTCTTACTATCACTCGACTTCATAACTTCTATCTTCTATCATTTGACCTTCGCCTTCGAGTCAGAAATATATTGTATACATACATAGTATACGTAGTATATATTGGATTTGTGGAGCGAAGCCTTACAATCTTCGTCGACCTGATCGGCCATCGTAAAGGTCCCAATTGCTCATAACCTTTTTCCTACCAAATTAATCAATTAGTTCCACCCCACATTCAAATCATAAAAATTATATCTGCCATTCTAACGAGTTGTGGAGACGTATTCGGGATTTCGTGGGACGAAACTTTATTACCTTCGACCTGATCGTGAGGGTCCCTCCACAAACCATTGCTCGTAAACAAATGATATGTGCTTTCCTTAATGACAAATATTTCTAAATGGATGAAATATTCGTGAAATAGTAGTAGATATAGTAGAGAATAATGAAGAATAGTAGATTCTTTGTTTCGGGATATTTAACCCTCTGCACTCGAAGGTATTTTTTTGCGAACTTTGAAACTTACTAGCTAAAAATGGTTATTGAGGTTAATGATGGCTTTTGAGGTTATTATTTCTCTACTAATAATTTCCACTAATGTCTGTTTCACTACGTTTATATGTATGTATATCACAAGTGCAATGTTATAGAATTAATTAGAAAATACTTATTTGTAATTATTGTATTAAATCGAGTGTCTGAGAGTCGACTTCCGAGTGCAGAGGATTAAACTTTTACCATTTCTCATCCAATAACATTTATAATACATAAAGTAAAGAAACATATCAAAAAGTCATAAATATATCTCACCTAAAATATATATTATGTATATCCTCTTTATTTACTGCAACCGTACATAAAATATTTCATGCATTAACATATTTATTCAATATGGATAACATTTATGCAATAGAGTGTATTTTACGTAACACAGATAAACAAGTTTATGAAATATGCAACAATCAGAAAAGAACAACTGATCAGAAAGTCATGTTAGAAGTTAACTTTAACAACTATTCGGAAAGTCGTGGATGTTTTGTAATTTGGATTGCTTCTGTATGCGCCATCATTGCTCGATGATTCAGGATTCTGACTATTTCGGTCATAAGTTTAGTTCGTGTTTCCTTGTCCAGTTCTCGTAGCACGCCCCCAAGGCGTTCTGCAGCGAGCATAAATCTGCAACGTGGTCGATCCACTGCGTACTCCGCCACGCATGGCTCCTCTTCTTCGGAATCTTCGTTATATGGCCGTTTTCGATTGCCGCTGAAATCTTGTTTAGCCGATTCGTCTGCTGATATTGGAACCATTTTGAGATTTGCTGTTTCTTCTGTGTTTGAAGTATTTAAACGTCGAATGTCAGTAACCTGTAACAAATTAATTTTTATTTATTAATGTTTATTAATTTTTAGTATCAACATTATTGAAAGGACAAAATAGGCATAAATATTTTTTAAATATATTGAAATAATTAAACTTGTATACATATAGTGTACATATGCTTACTCGTTAAATTCATAATACAGTCTCCAATTTAATTAGTTTTTTGTTCTCTGGTCTTTTCAGTCGATTTATTGCTATTTGCTGCTTCAAAATTACTATACTATCTCCACTTACTACATTCACTTTTTTAGTTGATTGCTATATTTAACTTTTGTTATCAGTGTATGATAAAAATTGAAATCTTGAAATACTAATTTAGGAATATTTTACAACAGAAAATTGCAATCATTCGTAACTGAGTGGCATATGAATTTTTACATAGATACATATGAAACGTGAATATATATCACTCTTTATTTATTTTGAAATATGTACAGTATATTTTGTATACTTATGTAAACCATTTTATAATATGTAGATATAAATAATTTTGTTCAAATTTGTCTGATAAAAGTAATGTTAAATACATAGGAAGTGTAATATTTTCAAGGCTAAATATCATTAAAATTGTTTACTAAATTTACAGATAATAAAATTACAAATTGAAAGAGTTTTTCTGTGAATTTAAGGCGGTACTCAAAATATTATGAACTAAATCGTGAATCATTGAATCAACTACAAAATGGCGTGGAGGATAAGAAGAGGTCCAAAATGTGTAACAACTTTATTCTTAAAATTGCAGTATTTTACAAATGAAAAAGCATAGTTCATGAATATTTTAACTACATAAAAAAAAACTGTATAGAAATATTTTAATTGTATTGCGAGTGACCGCCATTTTCAATCGTCTAAAATTAAATTAAAATCTAACAACTAAAAAGAATTTTACGTATTAACATAACATGTCAAAATGTATAATAAAATATCATACCGAAATAATTTCGGAATTTAAATGAATTTGAAATAAGTATATTAAAAATAAAATTTTATAATTCATAAAATTGTACATTATATAACCTTCCATAATAACTAAAACTAATTGTAAATAAATTCAAATTAAAACTTGAGAAAGAAAGAATGAATATAAATAAGCTATTTTATCAACCTCTTTCGCAAGCATCGCGCCATCTATACAACTAAATCAATTCAAGTAAACGTTTCGAATAACTTTCCCTTAATTTTTCCGTCTGTCTCTTATAATTATAAGAATTGCATTTCACTGTATTCCTTTTCTAATAATAATTTTTCTGGTGCATTACCAGTTATGAACAAAATAAGACTTTATAAAACTCCTACGTGACCTTCCATAGTAACTAAAGGCAGCTATTATAGCAACTGCAGACTAAACTAAATTTAAGAAAATAACAAATATAAAAAACTATTAATTTCAAACTCTTCTTTGACCTTGGAATTGATCTGTACAACCTCGTGTAACAAAATGCAAATAAAAATGGCTCTAATGAAAAATTTAAACTTACGTTTATTTTCTTTACTTCTTTTCAAGTGTCTTCCAGTTCCCAGTTAAAACTGTTTTACTACGTTTCACTATCTTGGGTCGTGTTTACCTGTGCTGAACTGTGTCCTTTTAGGCAAAACACTCCCTTTTGTATGTTCGCATTCTCCCACCCTGGTACAAGTCCCTTCCATGACCTTGCATCCCCTTTTCCAAGAGGACCTTGGACCCATTGTTGAACTGTAAAACCCATCGTTGGTCTGTGTGATCCATTAAAAATTCCCGGAAAACATGTACTTTGTATTCGTGTTGTTATTTTCTTACTTTTCTTTGAACCATTATTTTCTTAAGAATGAAAATTAGGAAAATAATATTTTTTTTCCACTATTTTCTTAAGAATGGAAATACAAACACATTTAACGTTAAAAATAAGGCACAATGTTCTCACAGGATCAAAAATGCTTTATTGAAAATTGATTACAAATATGTATAGAACAAAAAAAATGTATTATTTTTTGTTTTGTACGTAATGGAAATCTCAGAGGGAAAATATTTCAGGATTCCCAAAGTTTATTCATAATACTTAATTATATATTTGAAAAATTTAGAATGTTAATAATTTGAAAATTTGGGTATTTAAAAATTCAAGAATTCTAAGATTTGAAATCCCAAATTTGGAAATTTGAACATCTAGGATTCTAAGAATGGGGGAATTTGATGATTTAAGAATATCAGTCTGTAGAAGTTTGAAAAATTGGAAATTTGAATACTTGAAAAGGGAAATTCTGGAATTTTATAATTTGAAAATTTAGAAATTTAAAAACATCAGTCTTTGGGAATATGTATTTCTGAACGTTCAAGTACGCTTTTCCAGTGGGGGTGCATCCTCAAGTACCGTTTTACCGATCAGTAATCGAGTCCATGAACAACTACAAAACTTTTCTTCCTTTTCCTTCCGGATGTATAAGTACGTATTCTCTCAGAAATTTTTTAATAGAAAAATTTATTCTTCAAGTCTTCTTAGCAACCGCATCGTATAGTTCACTTGTTAGAACGCACAAATTTAATTCCAAAAATATACCTTCTTACAAGGTCCCTCCGTCCAATTTAATGTTTTCAAATAAAAATATTATTTATTTATTCGAAATAAAAGAACTAGTGAACACCAATGTTGTCGACATGTATACAGAAACATTTGTTCGTCTTTAAATATATTTTATTTTATTTTTCTTTAAAATTATCAAACCCATATTATTTATATTATTTTTCTTTTTACATGTACGTCTCAAAGAAGTAATTAGAAAAAGTTTCGTCGAAATCTATGAGGACAATGGACATCGATAAATTTACCTTATACTGCAATGTGTTTTGAACCTGATACCTCCATCTAAATTTTCATTTATTTCCCAATCACTTTGCAATAATAATTTTGAATAAGATTGTTAAATTAAACGATTTAATGTATACCTAACTTTATATCTTTATAGTTCGAAGACAATAATAAATATGAAACAACCTGCCTCTCCTTACTGGGGGAAGTTCAGTTACTTTATTGGGTAGCTTGGATATGCACATAAATTGTATACCGAAACCGCTCACGCGAAGTAACAATGAGAACCAGTCACTCAATTGTGAACTACCTGCTGAAATAAGCACTGCAATAGATAGACATGACATAATGCAGCACCGCAGAATCTTTGTCCTCTTTACAGTTATATTATACCCTATTGTAAATTCAGGTATAACAGGTATAGTGTATTACCATGAAAATGTGCATACAACTCAAATTTAGTATATACCGAGTTTTGGGCAAGATTGTAACTTGATTTTATTTTTTAATTTAATTTAAAATTACATTTGTTGATCTCTGTTACATAATTTTTTCAATATAATAAATATAACCTGTTCTGATATAAAAACCATTGAACTCTACTTCAATAAATGAAAACTGCAACTCAAAGAGAATTAGGAAACAAAAATGGCCAAACTTCAAGATTTCATTAGAGCTTTTTGAAAAATGGTATTTTTTCTTGTATTTCAATGATGTAGAGATGAAGATTGAAATCAAAGTGGTTGCAAGATTGAATTAACTGTTATACCTGTAAACATTCCAAATAAACCATACTAACATAAGTTGTAATAGTAATTATATTGTACAACATATTTACTTATTTGAACTTTTATTAGTATCAGTAAACAGAAGTAGTAGTGAATTATGATATTCCGAACATAAAATGAAAAACTAGTATGTTGATTATTGATTTCGAAACAACAGTAATATCTATATGTAATTAATACAAAAGTACTAAGCAAGCAAAATTTTCGTCATGATATTAATTATAAATAAAATTCGCAAAACAAAATTGCTTTGGAAAATATTTAAATATGCAATTTGGAAATCGTTCTATAATCGCAATGTTTAAAGTACATAAGGTGTAATTATAAGTGGAAGTCGTAAAAATGGAAATAATTTATTAGAAAAATGTACTATCTCATTTTATATGGTACGATTTTTCATTACCTCAAGAAAAACAATATACATTTTGAATACATTATAAACATCATTTATTACCAAAAAAAAAATAAAATGTCAGACGAAAGAAATCCTTCCAATCACATTATATTTGTATAAAAGTATTCATCACAAATAACGTGACAAATAGTGACTGGCTGGAAAATTGTACTACATAGTGATGCTAAATCGCATATGCATTAGATATTTTCATAGTAATCATTGTTTTAAAGGAACCACCGTTATTCATTAAAGAATAAAATGAAAGATTAACAAATGTATTAATTGCATATACTGCGCTTTGCACCAATATTCTTAATATTTTTACACAAATATAAGTTAATCAATTTGAGATCATTCAATTAGTTTATGTGAACATTAACATCTTTAATGAACAAGGTGGTTTAATCGAGGGTACAAAATAGAAATATTCTCTTTGCAGCATTTCATTATAATGAAACACAAATTGCTAATGAGGCATTGTTCTTATCATAGACAAGAAAATTTGATACATTTGTTCACCAGTTGTCAAAACAAGCAAACTTTTTCATTTTTGTACCCATGAATATTATACCTTCATTTGATTTATTATGATACAGGTTTTTTTGTTTCTAAAAAGAATACAGCATTTATTGTTTTGGAGAAGTCTAAAGGTTTTTCATCTCCTCCATTTCAGTATCAAATATATTACGCACACTTTGATTGGGCTACTCGTATTCAATTATTATTATTTATTTACTTATCAACAGTACCTAAGGTATTCCACTAGCACATGAATTTTAATAAAGAATTAGCATATGCCATTGGCCTTAGATTTGGATGAGGCTGAAACATAAATATTTTTATAAAACAACTATAAAAATGCAAATAATTATAAATTAGCTGTATAACATACCACTCCTTCATATATTGTGAACTTCGGTTTCATGTCTTTACCGTTAAGCGTGATAAAGGCACCCCGATTACCCATAGTATCACTAAAAACAAACAAAATAAACATAATACATTAAAACTCACTAAATTCATGAAGTATTTTATTTAAGTACCAATAATTTGGAGCAGAAAACACGGTAATGCATTTCCCATCATGACCCATTTCATATCCCTCATTTTTCACTTCATGACTTCTTATGATATAATCTAGATTATTCAGGGCAAGGAAATTTTGTGTGACATCAGGCCCAAATTGAACACCGACTCCTCTTTTACTGGGTGCTCTTCCTGGTTGAGGTTGTGGATCTGACCATAATAATTCACACATTAACCCTTCTTCTGGTGGTTGCCTATTCCTATCAATTTCCCGAATTTCTTTTAGCGTGACATCGTCTCTTGAAAATAGACCACCATGCATTACCTACAAAATAAATATAATAAGGAGTATTATAATTAATGTATTTAAATTCAATAAGAGTTTTATTTAAATATACTTACGAGTACTCTGTTATTAAGACAATGAGCAAGAGGAAGCCAATTATAAACTTCTGTAAATAATTCTGCCATTTGAGCAGAATATTTTGCTTTGACTTCACCGTCGAATCCATACATTTGATTCATTGTAGCAGATTCATGATTACCTAAATGATACATCTTAGTATGAATATGTATCTCATTTTAATGATACAAATAAATCAACAGGTACACACCTCTAGACATAAAAAAATGATTTGGATACAACAATTTAAATCCAAATAAGGTGAATATACATTCTACAGAAAATGAGCCTCTATCTACAAAATCCCCATTGAATAACTATAATACTGTTAAGATGTATATATTATATTAACCAAAGTGCATGTATTAGTAATATATTTTGTATTAAAACATTAAAAATGCAATGATAAATATATAATACAATATAGTCATATTACAAAGGATACATAAGGGTTAGTTTCTGAAGGCAACCCATTAAATTGAAAAATGTTAAGTAAATCATAGAATTGGCCATGTATGTCTCCACAGACAGTAAATTTACTTTCATCCGGAATTGTGATATCGATTAAGCTTGGTTGTGCCATAAACAATGCTTTTACATCTAAAAGAATTTTATAAGCATATTTACGATGTAATTTAAATTGTTTTTTGTACCAACTCAATAAATCTTGCATAAATTGTAAAGTGACTTTTCCATCTTCAAGTTTAGGTCCTGTATATTCATCTTCGATAGCTGTAAAATCCATGAAAATAAGTTTAATTTTTTCTTAAAAATGACTCGAATGCATCATATAATTAATAATCAAGTATTAAATATAATGATCTACCCATTTCTTCTAAATTAATCATATCAGCTATATTCTTTTTGTTTGCTTCCACAGAAATTGCTTTTTCAAAAGCTAACATTTTTAATATTTTAGAACATTCTGTATATTTAAGCATTGCATCTTTATCGTTTGGTCTTGCCTTAGTAACAGTTTTATAATCCTTAAGAGCTAATTTGAATTTGCCAAGTGACATATGCGCTGCGGCTCTACGATAATATCCCTTTACATAATTTTTATCTAATTCGATAGCTTTAGATGCATCTGTAAGTGCATATCCAAAGCATTCAGTTTTTAAATACGCAAAACTTCTATTCCCATAATATACTGCCACTGTAGGGTTACACTCTATAGCTTTAGTGTATAATTCTATAGCTTTGGTATAATCTTGATCTAAAACAATAAAATATATTGGTTATATATAAAAATGAACGTATATATAATGATAATATTTAAAACAAAAATTTAGAAGACAAACTGGTATTCAGCCAATAATTATATTTATTTAATATTCGATAAAATATACAATAAAATAAAAATCCGATATACAAAATATATTACATATAAAGAAATATCATATTCATAAAAATAGCTATCAGAAATAAAAATGATTGTCTACGGTACATCTATACAGATCATAGAATAAATAATATAATTGTTTAAAATTGTTAATTAATTGCTCCAAAAAGCGATGCTTCATTTGTTAATTTAATGATCATTTACGTTGTAGAAGTTGGGTTAGTTTTGAATACACACGTGACTAAATGACACTAATCTAATGACGATTATAAATTTCTATAAATCTTTAGATTCTGTGTGAAAGTAAATTGCAGAAGAAAATTAATGAAAAAATTTTGTAAACACACTTTTGAAGCATTCATTCGCTTCTTCTTTAAATTTTTCCGCTTTTGCCGCATCTTCTGACGATATTTCTGTGATATATACTCCTGTGATCTCTGCGTTTTCACTCATTTCGTGTCTTGTACTAGCAAATTAACGAGTTCACATAAATTGATTTAAAATATATTGAAACGTAGGTAATAAATAACACATTAAGGTAACAATAACTTTTTTTTATATAATGGTTTTTACTACACCGCACTGAATACCATGAAACCTATTAAACTACTCCATGATACGATTCGATCGATCGAAGTCGAGAACCAACGAGAACTATCGATCATTACGATTCAAGAAATGACTATTTTACGATATCGCGTGAACTTGGCTTTAATATTGTAATATTGAAATGGCTTCGATACATTTGTATCTAACGATATCGATATATGTATATATATTAGAGGCAATATTTAGAAATGGCGAAACATGCAATAAATAGTGCACCTAAGTGCAAATCTAGCTTCCCTGGGGAAAAAGGGAGCCAAAGAAAACAGATTTCGACCACCCGCAATAACATCCGCGCATTCAAACGCATTATACCTAATTTACAACAGTCATTTTCGCAATCGATAAATAATAAAATATTTGTGAGTACATGCTTAGTTTTAAAAGCCAGCTGTTTTATTACGCATTTTACAGTTTAGACAGATGATTCTAACAACAACATCAGAAGATAACTTTACGGTTTTTCTAACTGAAATTTACATTTATAACGAAAGTACCATAGCGGTTTAATATATAGAAATGACATACAAAACAATAGTTCATTGTGATGTAATTAATTAAAACGTTGAGAACGTTCTGGAGACCTCATCCTTACGTGCATTTGAACATTTCTATTTTCGAACGCGCAATCAGAAAATAGTATCACATGCGCCAGCTAACGGAAAAGCGTAAAATTATCAACGCAAAAAATTCCTTTCTGTTGTGATACAAGGCATTTTTAATTTTTTTAATGATTGAAAATTGTTCTATAAGATTCGTGATGTCAGAGAAATGAAACAGTAAGCTGAACAAGAAACTGTGGAAAATCGTCATGCTTCAGTTCCAATAAAATTTTGCAAATAACTCCTTTTTGTATTTGAGAAAACGGTTTTTGGTGATTCGTAAAAAAACTGTTTACAATTCTTATGTCATATCCTACATTACCGATAATGCACAGTATAATGAAGAAACTGGTTTAAACATATAATTTACACTTTCAGATTCGCGGTATACATATTCCAAATAATATTTTCTTGTAGACAATATGTATATTTGAGCGAGCGAGCCGAAGGCGAGCGAAGCTCTTATACTTGACTTTGCAACTTCTTTATCCGCGTTTTTCTTTTGCACCACTCAACCAATTCTCGTCAAATTTTGCATGCACATGCGTATGTACATACAGATGGACATAGAAAAAAAAAATTTTAACCGAAATTTTCCGCACTTTGTCGACGTAGTATGGTTCCTGAAGCATTTAGAAACAAATTTCTATTAGGGTTTGATGCGTCTTGATGCCTAAAAAAAGCCAGAAAATCAATTTTTGTCGAATTCGGTCCAAAAAGATACAGGTGGCGCCATCTGGCGGCGAAACCGCGAACTAAACTGAAAAACGTATATCCGAACACGCGTTAAGGGGTTAAATAAAAATTGATTTTCTGGGCTCAATAGGCAAAAAAATGAATAACTTATTCAACAAAAATTGCTTTAAAATTCTTTTTGGACCGAATTCGACAAAAATTGATTTTCTGGCTTTATTAGGCATCAAAACACATCGAACCCTAATAGAAATTTGTTTCTAAATGCCTCAGGAACCATACTACTTTGTCAAAGTGCCGAAATATTGCGCTTTGCATGTGCAGTAGAATTGACATAGGCGGCTCATGTTCGTATCGCAATGCTGACACAAAATAATTAATTACTCATTACCCGAACATTATTTATGAACTTTTATGATCGAACCATGTAAATAATGCATTGCTGATCATTCTTTAATCATAAAAGTTCATAAACTGTGCTCAGAAAGTGAGTAATTAACAATTTTGCATACTCATTGTCGTGTATATTCCTCTTACGCATCGCCCGCGCATGCCACGGAGGAATAATTACCGAAAAACCATATCCTCGTAGATTTTAATGCAAAATTGAATTTGCTCGCACTTATGTATTTGACTTTTCAACTTTTTTGTCCACGCTTTTCTCTTGCACCACTCAACCAATTCAACCGGATGACACGGTTGACTATTTTTGCTTAAGTGTGAAATTTTCTTGCTCGCTCAACATTGTTAGATTAGGCGCGGAGCGCCTCAATCAAACAGACCTAGTTACAGTATACGATATTGTCGCCCTTACCAAAAACGATCCCAAACCTCTACACTCTACACACATGAATAAATGCCGTCGGTAAGATGGGGAACTATATAAAAATAGTACAATTTTTTTCCGAGTCTCCAAAAATCAATAAAATGATGCATTTTCAATTTTCAAATATAAATTTCTGATATCACAATTTGACCATTTTTCTAATGTTGTGCAACGTAAAAATGTCCTGTTTCGCGACAAAAAGTTACTTTTTGTCCCGATAGTTTCGCACTCTACTGCTAAATGGCACCAAATATACCTTTTTTTATTGCGCGCGGAAATATTAATTTTGAAATACATATAAAAATGAGACTTCCAAAATGCTTTCAAACTGCTATAACATTATTCATAAAGATCGATTCTAAATTTCTAAACCCATAAATTCCCAAGTTTTGAAATAACAGATTTGCAAATTCCCAAATTACTAAATTTGAAAATACCTAAATTTAATAGTTCTCTGATTCTATAATTTCCAAATTTCTTAAATTACTAAAACCTCAAATTTCCAAATTTCAATTTTCAAGTTTTTTAGTTTTCAATTTTCAGTTCTAACACGTGTAGCGACCATATACGCAATTTTTTTTATATATTATTCCCATTCTTCGCCGATCATTGGTTACATATAATTATTCAATACCGATTCTATTTCAGTAGTTCAATTTTAAAATGTATGTAAGAAAAGGAATAAAAAATGTTGATGCATATATAGATAAGATTTATTGCAGGTCAAAATATTGTACGTTCAAATTGTATATTCATAAGAACATCTCGTGACGTCAAGTTTTAAAGGTTAGTGTTGTGCGTACGTTTAAAGTATCTGGTTGCGCTTTCTAAGAAGAAAGTTCTTTGCAGACTTTTGATTGAACTTGACATCGCTGTGAAATCGTTCTTTTCGTTAATTTATTGTATGTGTATATTGCATCATATACATTAAAAAAATATTGTATATGTATGGTATTTTTAAATTTTGAAAAATATTTCAAGACAATATATTATTGTGATGGCTAAAATAATAAAAAGTGTATGTTCTGCTGCATGTCATATAAAATCTTCGATAAAAAATTTTGGGAGTATGCAAGCAGCTCCTCTGCAGCAAGCTGCTTTAGAGGAACGTTGCATTTTGGTGGATGCGTTAGATAAACCTCTTGGTGAAGCTACCAAGCGAGATTGTCATACGGTTAATGCAGATGGACAAGTTCCTCTTCATAGGGCATTCAGTGTGTTTTTGTTTAATGGTAAAGGAGAATTACTACTTCAAAAGCGATCTGCTAGTAAGGTAAGCATCATTGATATATAAAAAGCATCATATTTGTTAAATAAAGTATATTAGATTAATACTAAATAATGTTCTTTATAGATAACATTTCCAAACCATTATACAAATACGTGTTGTAGTCATCCCTTATCTGAAATTCCTGAAGAAACAGAAGAACAGGATGCAATTGGAATACGTAGGGCAGCACGAAGAAGGCTTAATTATGAATTAGGAATCCCTTTGTCACAAATTCATTTATCAGATTTTCTGTATCTAACAAGAATTCATTATCATGCAGTGAGTGGATGTTGGGGTGAGCACGAAATAGATTATGTGCTGTTTATGCAAAAAGATAACATCACATTAAATCCGAATCCAGATGAAATTAGTGAACTTCATTGGGTATCACAATCCGACATTAATCAGTTTGTAAAAAGTATTAATTCTCCGTTAAGTCCTTGGTTTGAATTAATTCTTAATCATAAATTGCCACTTTGGTGGGATAATTTATATACTTTAGAAAAAATACAGGATCATAATACGATACAAAGATTCATATGAAATTTTTATAAATTTTAAAAGCAAATGTGACAAAATTAAATAAAGTTTTGTAAATTTATGTTTTATATTATTTGATTATATGTGTCAAAAATATTTTATGGCTGGTAATTATAGAACTAATGCATAATAATAATAAAAAAACTAGAATATAAAGGTTTTGAAATAAAATGTAAATTTGATAAGTCATATAAATACACTTTATTTATTAACATAATATAGTGTACATACAAAGTAAGAAGATGTGTCACATGAAAACCAATTTTATAATTATGAAATAAAAGATGAATGAAATATTTTTAAATCATTCTTTTTATTGTAATTATATGTACAGGTAAGGAAGTATACGTGGTTTGTATATCTAGATACCAAAGTTACATTAACTTGTAATTACATAATTTTTTATTTCCTTATGTACCTGTTTATTACATTCGAAATCCGTTTAGCAGTTGCTTTTATAAAAGAAATATATCTTTGTTTATTTATTGAACATATGTATCTATGTTTATAATATATAAACAGAAAATATATTTGAGCATTGATAGCATATTATAGTAGTCTTTTAATATTAAGAGGATATGTGTTATTTAATTCTTCCTCACTTATTTTTTTAACACATGTATTTATGATTGACGAAAATAAAGAATACTAAAAATATATAAAATACCATAAAATATTTTTGTTTAGTATTATTTTCATTGTAAATAGACTGATCAAGGGTCAAACGTCACTTCCTTTTCTGTGATAGAGAGAATGGGATAGGAGTAAGTACTTTTTCCTGTTTCCCTCTTAATTACACTTATATTCAATTTGATTAATCATCTGGTTAACTCAAATTGGTAGGCAAAAGAAATCAATGGCTTGTTATTTTAACATTTTTTATTTGAATGCATACATTGCAAAATGATTACATCGGTTTCTTGTTTTCGTGGTGTAATTTTTAACCGAAGTCCATTAGCATTATGTAATACTAATTCGCTGATAAAACGAAGTTGATCTTCAGCATCTAAAGATATCACATGGAAATTTTTTAATACAAAGAGGCTAAGAACTTTTACCATCATTATGGCATATTTTGAGCCTATGCAGTTACGAGAACCTGCACTGAAGGGAAGAAAAGCATAAGAAGGATATTTTAGACCATTAGGCAAAAATCTCTCTGGTTTATATGCATCTGGATCAGGAAAATACCGAGGATCACGATGAAGTAAAAACGAATTGACAACAACTGTAGATCCTATTGGAATATTGTGACCCACTAAAATAAATTTAATATTGTGTCATAAAAGTAATAAAAAATTCTCTTTCTTTTTTAGTAGTTATACAAACAAATTCATACTATGTGTATTATACTTACAAATGGTAATAGGATGATAGATTTGTCTTGCAATGAGTGGAACTACTGGATAAATCCTCCAGCATTCTTTTATACATGCTTCTAACCATGTTAGCTTACTTAACAGATCTAAAGTTAACTTTTTTTCTTTTGTTACTTCATAATACTCATTAAGAATCTTTTCCTGAAATAACAAAATGAGATAAATAGTATTGTAACTATAATTTTATATTAGATCTTTTTCATTTTCAATGTGATAAGTTTTTTAATTTTCTTTTTGTGGATACTTTATATGTACTATTATTAAAACTAAATTTAAAAATCTGTGTTGAATGACTGCATATATTAGATACTTATGATGATACTTTGATGTATGATAAAAAATTGTATTACCTGATATTGAGGGTGCCGACCAAGTACATATAAAATCCAGGATACACTATTCGCCGTAGTGTCATGACCCGCGAACATAAACGTGTTAACTTCATCGCGAATATCATCATCGGTGAGCACTTTACCATCTTGCGATAATTCTAATAACAGATCTAGCAGAGCTCGATGTTTGTTAAATTGTACGTTACTGTTTTCATATTTTTTAGCTTTCCACTCTTCTTTTCTTTCTGCAATTATCTATTACAATAACAATAAATAACTTAGCGCTAATTGTCAAGCAGACATTAAGTTATTTACCACTCTTTAAATTTCCGTCTAAATTAATATTCTACTTAAATCAAATTGAATAAATATGCATTTTAAAGGATTGATATCCAATGACATCAAGGTCGTCCATTTGAATAATCTTCGGAAGATTTCAATTATCGCTTGTTGTTTGTTAAAAAATTATTTAAAAAGACGTAGAAAAACACAGTAGTATCAAAGATATTATTTAAAAAAGAAATAGGTGAATCTACAGTAGTGCTTCGTAAATAAATAAGAAATAAGTTACAAATTCTTCTAGAAATTACTCAAAAGACTGTTGTTGACTTATATGAAGATTAAGTCATTGAAAATATTTCTGAATAATTTCACCATAGAATGTTCGACATCGTACTTACTTTATTAACGAATTCATGAGTGACACGAAGTGCATGATCGTGCTTTTGACCCCATGAAGTTAATTTAAAGATGGGATCAAGAGACATCCAAACGTTTAAAAATCTCCTTTGCGAGATAGAAGCTAGTCTAGAAGAAATATTACGTATGTTACAGTAATAAAAATTGAAATATTATTTCTAAAAAATAATTATATATTTACGTATTCACAGCCTGCACATATTCGTTTTTAAAATTTGTTTGTGCGTTGACATTACATCCCATGGAACTGTCTGTAATATCAGATAAAATTATTGAAAATAGTTTTTTGCATGAATGGCGAATCGAATTTATACATAAATTAAGATACAGCTTTTTTGTGTATGTATTAGTTTTTTGTGCATACATACTTATGTATAATTATCATTTTAGTCGCTACAGAGCGTTTCAAAAATTATGTTCGACTGGTAGATTTTATGAACGAAATTTGAATTTCCTTTATAATAAAAGTATTTATTATATAAGTTGTTAGTACTAACTAACACCAATAATTCATAACGCACTTTTTTTACACAAATTTAGAAATATTTTTTTATAGCATTTCGAATGTTAGCTGAATTTTCATTATATCGCAGTTTAGTTTTCTGTTTCATAATAAAAATGAATTTTACTGCGCAATTCATGTAAATTCATACCAATTAGGAGATAATAATTTAAATGCAGTCAAAATTTTGAACTAACACTTTTGAACTAACTCAAAATTTGCATAAATTTTCGTTGCGTCTATATTTAACAATATGGATAATATTATACAAAAAATAGAATAATGATATAAATATTATGTAAAACAAGGACAAATTTTACCACATATTATATCCAATGTTGCTCGTTTAATGTATGGAACAATGTCAAACGCAGGTTTATCAATTTCTTTCTTCAAACAGGATATTAATATTTCGGCTTCTCTGATTGTTGTTTTTAAATATACTTCTAGAAGACCGCTATGAAAGGTTGGCGTAAGCAATTTTCGTCGAAAGTGCCATTTATTGCCTATAAAAAAATATCTAGTTCATTTTATTGACATATGTGATTGTATTTCTGTGGTGGAGAAGATGGTGAGCTTCTGATAGGAAAATGGCGGTACAGGGAAAAGAATACACCATTACTTATTTGTGATGAAGGAATTTTTTGATTTATAATTGTTAAGACAGAAGTTTAGAAATTTGGTCGTTTTGTGGATTTAGGGAGTTGGAAATCTAATATTTGGATATGTATATATTTAGGAATTTAGAATTTTAGACGTTTAGAAATTTGGGTAGTTGGAAGTTTGGGAGCTTCACAATTTGGAAATTTATTGAGTTTTTGGATTTGTATATTTGAAAATTTAGAAAACTAGAAATTGTGGAATTTCAGGATTTAAGGATTTGGTGATTTAGAATCTTAAAAATTTGAAGATTGGGTTTCGGGGATTTGAGAATTTGGTCATATAGAAATTTAAAAATTAAAAAATTTAGAAACTAAAGAACTTGAAACTATGAAAATTTGGTGAACTTAGAGATTTGGAAATTTGGTGAATTCAGAGATTTCGAAATTTGAAAATTTGAAACTTTAAAAATGTAGGAGAACAATTTGGAATTTGAAAACTCGAAAATTTAGATATTTAAAAATTCCACAAATTTTTGGCTTTGTAAATTTGAAAATTTGGAAGTTTAGAAATGTAGAGTCTACAAAATTTGAATACTTGAAAGGTTTAAACCTCAGGAAGGAAACTTGAGAATTTAAGAGTTTGGAAATGTAGAGAATTTATGAAATTTGAAATTTTAAAAACTAAAAAATTTGAGGAATTTGAAAACTTGAAAATGAGGATATTCAGAAGTTTGGAAACTTAAGAATTTAGACGATTAGAAATATAAAAATTTTTGGAATTTGTAATCTTTAATTTCATGTGACACAAGAATTTTAAGTATTAAGATTTTAGAATTTCATGTAATAAAAAAACAATGTAAAATAAGATGATTTTTTCAAAATTTTCATTATATTTAAATATCTAACATTATTTATATTATTCATAAAGTATGTAATATTATGTATAATATACATTAGAAAATATTTGAGGTACTTACCACTGCTAGTCACTAACCCTGTACCAAGCCAGGGTCGCAAATACTTATATTCTAAACTTTTGTCTATGTGAATGCTGCTGCTTAACAATGGTTGTATTGCTTCTGCGTTGTAAAGAAAAATGAATGGACGCATTCCAACCCAAATTAGATGTATATCTCCCAGTTCTCTCCCCCATTTTATCATTTTCTTGAATGCTTCTAAAATACATAGAAAGAATAACAAACCGATAACTTTTTATTCAAACTTAACACCTTCAGTGTTACTACTTCAGAAAAATAGTGAATTTGGGGAAATTGGGGTTTGAAAATTTGGAAATCTGAAAATTTGCAAAGTTGAAAGATTAGAAATTTGTATAACTGGAGATTTGAAAATTTGTGAAATGTATAAATATGGAAATCTAAAAATTTAGAAAATTTGCAAAATATGAAAACCTGAAAATTTAGAAAATTTGCAAAATATGAAATTTTAAAAATTTATCAAATTTGAAACTTTGTATAATTAGTAAACTATAAAAATGTGAGAATGTGACAATTTGTAAATTATGAGACTTCAAAGTTTGTAACAGTTATAAAATATGAAAACCTGAAAATTTGTAAAATATGTTATATGAAAACCTAAAAGTTTCTGAAACGTGAAAACTCGAAAATCCGAAAATTTGGAAAAATAAAAATGTGAAAATTTACAAACGTAACAATTTGAAAGTTCGCAAATTTACATCCTTGGAAATTTGAAAATTTAAAAACCTGAAACTCAAGAATTTGAAACTAAAAAATTTAGTTTGAGTTGTATTAATATAAATTGTAACTAACAGTTTTAATTATAGCATTAAATAAATTTATTAAATATCTATATAAAACGTGTCATACACATAATAATGAACTTTTATAATGAACTGTGCAAATAGTTGGTGTTTTAATCGAAACTGTTATTCCTCGAAAAGTTTCTTAAAACCTTCGAATTTGATTGGTAGTTTATTTAAAAAAAGAAATTCGCACGTGATTGCATGCAGTTACAAGTTGCCAGAACGTTATTCAGGCCACGAACGACCTCGACCTCCTTTTCTTTTTCCGTTTCGTTACGCGTGAGATAATAATAATTATCTTCAACATTTGATAGGGCTGAGATGGATAAATCTCTTTCTTCTTTTTGTTTACCCCCATTCTTTTGTACATACATTCGTGCAGTTTCATTTGCCTTTAATGTACCCAACAATCAAGGTGAACTTCTTCCAGAATATCAAGTTTTATCTGTAGGGAGTAGCAAACTCTGCCAGCACATGTATTAGGAACGTTATTATTTATAATTGAACTAACGTCGAATTATTATTATTGTAATTATAATTCAAAATGTTTAAATATGGAAATCTAAAAATTTGTCAAATTTGCAAAATATGGAAACCTGAATATTTATAAAATTTAGAATAGAAAAGATAATGGAATTTAAAAACTTGAAAATTTGAAACTTTGTAAAATTAGTAAATCATTTTTCTGTAAACAATATACAGATTCTACATAAATACGTATGTTTGTAAAAATTTTTATTCTTCCACTACCAATTTATTTTTGATCATTAAAAATGGTTCAAAATGATTATGAAAATGTATTTTTATAAATGGTTTTTGATTATTTAATTGTAGTGTCCTAAGTGGAGTTGTAATGGCGTTCTATCAAGTTTTCGAGGTGTAATATTTCAAAAATTGGAATTTGTTGTTGACATTTTGGTATTTGATTTATTGTTATGAAAAATTTATTTTTAAATGGTAGAGTTAGAACTGGATTAATCATTTAGTCAAATAAATATATAAAGAGGGATTCAATGAATATTTTTTATTGATGGGTTTATTGTGGATTTTTTAATTATAAATCTCAGTCTCATTGTTCGAAAATTGAAAAATTCCTCAAAAAGCACAAAATCGCAAAAATGAAGAAATCCTAGTATTTTAGAATTCTGGAATTTTAAATTTCTAAATTTTGCATGTTTAAAGTTTCAAGCTGCCAAAATTCCAAGGTATAAATACTCCAAAATCCCAAATTTAAGAAAATCTTTAAAATTTTTAAATTGCAAAATTTCTAAGTCTCGTGACATAAAATACCAAAACTTTAAAGTTCCAAAATTTCAAAATTCAAAAATTCAAAAGTTCCAAAATTCCAAAATTCCAAAATTCCAAAATTCTAAAATTCAAAAATTTCAAAGTTTCAATGTTTCGAAATTCCAAAGTTCCAAAATTACAAAATTCCAAAATTCTAAAATTCAAAAATTTCAAAGTTTCAATGTTCCAAAGTTCCAAAATTCCAAAATTCAAAAATTTCAAAGTTTCAATGTTCCGAAGTTCCAAAATTCCAAAATTCTAAAATTCCAAAATTCCAAAATTTCAAAGTTTCAATGTTTCAAAGTTCCAAAGTTTCAAAATTCCAAAATTCCAAAATTTCAAAGTTTCAACGTTTCAAAGTTCCAAAGTTTCAATGTTTCAAAGTTCCAAAGTTCCAAAATTCCAAAATTTCAAAGTTTCAATGTTTCAAAGTTCCAAAATTCCAAAATTCCAAAATTCCAAAATTTCAGTTTCAATGTTCTAAAATTCCAAAATTCCAAAATTCCAAAATTTCAAAGTTTCAATGTTTCAAAATCCCAAAATTCCAGAGTTGCAAAACTTCAAAAATTCCGATATTCCTAATATTTGATTTTGTCTAAAATAAACACAGCAATTAACAAAAGCTCATTTTTGTAAATAATGGCAACAGTGTATGACATAATTTCGAACTTGCTCTTATCACGGAATTAACTTTCATTGCCATAGTTAATGCGTTTATCTATTTGGGTTAAGCTGTCGTGATTTTGGTACTGCACTGGTCACTAACGCACGCATAAGTAGGGATTCATTAAAATTACACGTTAAGTATTTTTTTTTTCAAACATACATGTATGTTTTAACATTACATGTTCAGCATTACATGCTTATGAATTTCAACATATGAATATGTCTTCTTTAATTGATGAATTGAATAAAAATGCAATGAATGTCTTTTGACATCTATTGAAGGTTTTATATAACAAAGGAATATATTATTAAGATTGCTATTATGCTATGAATAACAAAAGATTGCAAATTAGAATTCAAATTGTATTAAAAAATAGTAGAGAAAATAGTTGTCTGTCAATTATTGGTATACGCAATTCTTTATCACTATTTCAAATTAAACTGATCTTTAATTTCACTAATTACAATTAGTTTTCCTTATCATTTTTTGTTGTTTTTATAATATATACTTGTAGTAAATTTCTTAAACATGTTTTTCAACATATTTAATACGTTATATCATGTTGCAAATATGTTGCATAAAATAATATGAAATGTTTGTATTTTGTACAAAACATAAATTGCAAATATTCATACTGAATGAAATTATTACAAAATTTTTCGTTTTTTTTTTAATTACAACTTCTTATTTCACCTTTTCAGAATATTCCAAACTTGCAAATGTCATATAATTTTTATTTTAATAAATATCTTAAATAGAAAATTCATTGTTGCGTTTTTATTATTGTTACTTATAAAAGTTTAGAAGTATAGAGTCCTTTAATAAAAACAATAAAACTTGACATACAAAATAAAACAAGTTGTATTATCATAAAACTATTTATTTTAATTTAAGGAATGATACTATTTACGTTGTTTAAGTTACGTTGTTTAAATGACGTCCACAATTTCATTTCATAAATACTGAAGATATTCAATTTTTCACAACTTTCTCATAGATGTGACTTATTTATAGACCGATGACCGTGCAGATGATAATTTGACATTTTTAGCAATGCAAATAATATAATTTTTTAGTTTAATTTGTGAGTTTAATTTGTTTAGTTTAAACTCGCACATTAACATTCCATAAAAAATTCTATAAAGAGAATTGATCGTAAATCAAATTAATACTATCGTTTTTCAAAAGAACAAAACCATCAAACTTTTATTTCAATGACGTCAATGTATACGCGATATATGGCATGTCACACCTTGTTCAAATCTATATTATTCAATTTGTGCCATAGCGATTACTTTATCTTTATTCGATATCTTTATCATTGTTCCATATCGACGATAAATATGACTTCTTCCACGTTTTCAAAAAAATAGAATCTAATCATACTTTTAGACCTGAATTAAATCAAACAATTATTTTTTAGAATGCACTAAAGTGTTGCTGAATCATTTCTGAGCTACTCACTGACTTAGTGTTGAATTAATGCTGAATTAGTTTCTCTTTCGCCCTAAATTCGATAATTCTATTCGTTGACGTAGATGTTTGACCAAAAATGAGCTTCATCGCTGAAGATAATTTTTGTGCAATGGTCTGGGTCATTTTGGAGCATTTTTAGATAGGAGTCGACAATTTTTCGATGTAGTACATGATTATTTGAGTTTAGTTTCTATGTCAATATCTACGGATACAAGAAATTTTTATCTAGGATTCGTTCAATTGATTTTTATGAACTGTGAGAAATTGATAAAATAGGATTGTTACTAACACTTTTTTTGGACAGTAGTATTTATTTTTTTTCGATCTAATGTTTCGTGGTCCTAATGGGGTCTTTTGATCGACAAGTGCAATTGTTGTTGCATAAACAATAATTCGAATAGTTTAATGGCTGATTTTAGCGGCCATATTGTGTAACATTTAAAATGAGTATACAAGGAGATTTCTTTTAATAAATTTCATAATAATTTCAGACTAACCTCATCATAATTCCACAATAAGTCCATAACAATTTTAAAATAATTTCACAATAATTTTGAAATAATTTTGCAATAATTTCATAATAATTTCTCGATAATTTCTTGATAATTTCTCAATAATTTCTGAATAATTTCTCAGTAATTTTCCAATAATTTCTCAATAATTTCCCAATAATTTAATAATAATTCCACAATAATTTCATAATAAATTTGAATTACATTCGATACAGAACTGCACTGTAATTATTCATAATTAAATGGCTGACGTCAAAAGTTAGAATTTCTACAAAATAACAGCGAAGGTTTCATAAAATTGACTGCAATCAATCAATTCTCCATCGTTTCTATTAAAAGACGCGTTACATCGTTTTTAACCAGAGTGTTGTTTAAAATAATAAACATTTTATGCCACTATTTCTGTAAATCAATTTCACATTAAAATTAGCAGATTTATTATAAAAAATAGTGGAATAAAATATTACTTCAAAATTGATACTATTTCTACAAATCAATTTCACGTTAAAATTACTAATTATTAAATCACTATTTTTATAAATCAATTTTAACGAGAAATTGATATATAGAAATAGTATCAATTTTAATGTAAAGTATCATTTTATCCTGCTACATCCATAAATCAATTTCAATGTGAAATACATAATAGTTAAATAACATTGACACCCTGAAACGAAGTTCTTACACAAACTACAACTTGTATTGTCTACTTTTTTTATTCGATCTCAACTACGAACGTCTGCTCTCAATATCGGTGCACATTTTTGTACGATTACTTGTACAAATTTAAGTACATCCGAGGTTATCGCTATTTTGTCCGAGCGTGGAAAATAAATATACAAGAATTACATACATTCGATCTGACGAATGTCTTATAGCAATATCTCGTCTACTTATATTTTTGGACAAGTTTTCGTAACGTTGAGCAATTTAAAATAAACGTAATATTAAAATAGAATATCAGCATATTTCAAAATAAACAACTGTAATAACACAACTTTTAATGTGATGTTGAAAAATCATTACGAAATGTACATAGTTAATTTTTCTTGCTAAAATCTGAGTAATGTTACAAATATGTTGATTAAGAGATTTTTTTGGTAAATTTTAAATAATTTATAAGTATGTGTATTAAAAATTTTGTCATGTGTTATGTAATTCTACGATATGTAATAGAAACGTTACAAATATATTAATTAAATTATTAGATTGTTTTGTTGGATTCTAAATAATTTATAATCAAAATCAAATGACTTCCAATATGTTACATAGTTTTATATGTAAGAAATACTGTTAATAATAGATAAATATTGTATGTCGACAACACGTGTTTCCAAGATAATAGAACTGCAAATTAACTTTTGTTCAATTTCCTTCAAAAGTTCAAATATGAGAAACACGAAATTAAATGATAGAGTTAGATAAAAACTGTAAATCTAATACAAATATATTTCATATTTAATATAAATAGTTATTGAAAAATTACAATGATTAAGTAGTATTTAATTATAAAGATTGCATGTTTATTTGCTGTAAATTTTATAGTGCAATAAAGTTTCCTTTTGTCAAAAATTTATAAACTATGGATTATAATTTTTACTGCTTCTACCATATTTTTTGTAACTTATGGTGAATATTCTTGCGTACGTAAAAATATTATTTCTAGTCTCTTGTGTATATAGAAATATTATAATATTGTGTACATAAAGTTAAATTGAACATGCTCAAATATTATGTACAATATATTCTTGTGTTGCGATATTTTAGAGTGCACCATAAATAGACACTATTCCAACAAGCTTTGAATAATAATTATGTAAATTGCGTAAATAAACGTATTATGTATTTGTTATCTCTTGTTTAGACTGAACAAATTATTTTCAGAAAATTATAATTCATTGTTCGCAAATAACGATTTCGTTTTATGCCTAATTTTTATTCAAATTAGTTGATTAATTACCAAATTAATTTATTAGAATAATCATTCAACTAAAATTCGTTTATCAGAACAATTTCTGTTATCAAAATAATCATCAAATGAATTAATCTGTTAGAATAATTATCTGAATAATTGATTCAAATTAATACATTTGTTTATCTCTGCTATACATGTGTATTACGATTTGATATCACTTTACTCGGCAAGGAGTTAACAAACAAAATTGGGCTGAATCATTCTGAAAATATTTTAATGTACTGTGTGTTTACGATATTACGAATTAGCATTTCTTTCGCGAAAGGTAAATATTTGATAAAACTGTTGTAGAAAGAAATTTTACTACTCTTTTTTATCAACATGACAAGATGAAATTTTCAATGTTTGTAATATTTTTCGAGAATTATAGGTAACTTTTCATTTTTTAAATGAGATTGCATATTTTTCTGTACAAGAATCAAAGAACATTAAGCTTACAAAATATTATAGTGTTTGTAAATATTAAGGCTTAAAAATTAGTGTATAACAAATAATGTATAAAAATAGTGTAAATTAATAGTCTAATAAAAATATTGGAGTATGTTGCATTCATAGACTACAATATTAAAAATTGAAGTAAAAAACTAAAAGGAAAATACCAGAACAACTAGAAAAATACTAAAAAAGGTATGAAAAGAAGTACAATGTTACATAAATTAAAATACAGTTCTGAAAGATGAATGCAATGTTAAGAAATTAGTAAGAATGATGCATGAAACCTTTTAAATTTAAAACCTAGATATTTCATACAAAAAATAGAAATATTTAATGAATTATTTTTTAACATTATATTTTTATACTTTTTAAAAACAGAGAGTCTCAAATTCATTCAAAAATGTAATTCAAAAAAAAGTTGTACATATGTCTACCTTTTTTTTAATACAGAATATTTTTGTTTACACGAATCGAATTTGTAAATCAACACAAAAAAATATTCTAACGTCACATAATCAAATGATAGTTCAAAAGATATTTAAAATTCTTATATGTATAAAATGTTTCACTTTTGCGTTTGAAATATACAAAGGGCAATGTCCTTTAACACTACACTCTCATACTTTTTTACGGACAATATTCTGAAGAATTTACTGAAGAAAAAAGAAATGCAATTATATTAAGAAAAATATTTTGGTACAAAGAAAAATATGCAATTATATTAAAAAGAATTTCTTGTTACAAAGAAAAATATATAATTATATTAAGAAAAATATTCCTGGTATAAAGAAAAATATAAAATTATATTAAAAAAAATATTCTTGGTACAAAGACAAATATACAACTATGCTAAAATGAACATTTTGTCCCCTTTGTTTCTAAAAAAAAATATTACAAACACAAGAAATCTGTGTACCCTAACCACAACATTGTTTCTAAAAACAGTAAAACTCTTTCGACTTTCATTTTTCTTAAATACTTACAATCTGAGAGAAATGTCGCCCCATGCAAACACGCGTGTGTTTACAGAATAGAATTTTTAATCTTACAGTATTTCTTTGTCAAAAGCTATTTCGTGTGAATTTGATATTTGATTATATTGCTTACCTTCTGGACTGCAACATAATTGATACGCATTCCCAATGATAGGTAAAGCAGGAGGATAAGGCACCTTCCTCAAAGCATACAGAAATTTTCCTCGTCGCACTAGTAACAGCAAAACGATCGTCATTAAAAACGACGACAGAACTAACGTGACCCAGGATCCTTCCATGATGAACATCGCAAGAAGAACTCTTAATTCGTTACTTTATACATCGTTACATCCTCCAAATAAAATTACTATTTATTTGTGCAAAAATCTTGCGATAAAATTTAATCCCTCGATATTTTTATCGGACTCACAATTTCTGTGATCCGCGAACTGGCTGGAGTTCGAACAGGAGGAACGTGGGCGAAATTTAAAGATTTGTAAGGAGGGTTCTAACGGTCCATTTTGACAAAGTTAACGATCAGAAAACGAGGATGCGCCGTTGTGTTGAACGCGTGTTATGGAATGACTCCCCCGGTTATGCGAATCCGTACGAAACAGTCGCCCTTATATACTACTGAATGTTCGGTGTACTACAACAGCATGGCAGTGGCTAACTCCTTCACCAATAGAATCAAACACGTGGGATACGTGAATACGTTTGCATCGATATGCCGTATATTCCATGGATCTGATGCTGCGATACAAGATTATGATTCACAAACATTTTATACCTGCATAAAAAGCTTCGGTGATTTAGTTCTGCCTCTGCATTGTGTTATCGGCGAATAATTCCGACGAATTCCGTAAGTTGGATCTTTTTCTCGTTATCTACTCGGGGAACGTGTTTCTTATCTCGCAAAAAAAAGGTGTTGTGTCAAACAGTTTTGGACGAAAAAAGAAAGCAGTGTTGTTCGTACAAAAGAACGGTATCGGGACCGACGTCAAAACACTGTGTGTGGATCCGTCAAGATATATTTTTATCGACGAAGGCACAGTAGAAAATGGTCCATTAATTATCAACGACTAAACTTTCATATTCTGCAAATATTAATGCTGTCTTGTTCTTGCGGTAAGTTCGAATGGCAAGTCGTTTTTGTAAATGGGAGCTGTTGTTTGGTAACTTGTATTTTTAGGCAACTGGAGAGGTTGATGAATATGGATAGTCCTTGAAAGATGGATAATCCTTGACTTTATCATTTTTAAAAATGTGTGCTCTTTTAAAAACGTGACTCTCGTAATAGTAATGGGAAGTTAATAATTTGAACAACTTTTATTTTAAAAATTATGAAAAGTATGATAGTGTTATATTAAAGTAACTTTTAGGATTGAGAAATTTATTTCAAAAGAATTTTATTTGATAACATTAAAGACTAACAAGAAAATAATGATAATTCTTCTTGAGAAATGTAGAACATAATAAAATCATATATATTAAACAAAGTATTTATCTTTGAATTAAGAGACATATTTGAAAACAAAAGATACACAAGTTTACAACATTTTGCAGTAAAAGACAACGTTTTTAATAATTTATTAAACAAGAAACTTATTTATTTATGTCAGAGAAAATACAATTCTTTATTTATAAAAGAATGCAACGAAGAACAATTTGATATATTTCAATTGATATTGTCTAAAATTGTAAAAGGAATTTTAAAAGATCGAAGTGCAGATAAAAATATTGCTAGATTTGCATGCAGACCAGATAATATCACATTAATATTCAGATCAATGAAATATATTCTCTTTAAAAACGTGTTTCGAACGCCCTTAAATTTGTAACCTTGATTTCGTTTGACTTTCATCGAAGTCAGCTTTACATATATGGGTATATACACATAATCAGAGTAGCCCCTAGAGTTTGCGGGGCCCGGGGCTAAAATTGGCAATATAGAAAGAGTTTGTTTCAATTGCACTACTTTGAAAATTTGTCATTTTTAAAAATCTGTATATTATTTTATAGATTATAGTATTTAATAAATTATTTTACATTATGTTACGTTACATTATTAGTAATATCACATTATTTAGTAGATTATATTTTTAGTATTAAATATAATTTATTATATTGATTAAATACAATAAAATAATAAAATACAATAATGTATAACCTTTAAATATAATAAGTAACAATAATTAACAATAATAAATCTACAACATGTAATTATATTATGAATTATTTTAAGGTAAATTGCACAGAAAATTTCTGGTTTATCGTCATAATATTTTGCAATTATTTACATTTCTTCTGGAGACCACAAACAAAGGTGTACTAAAAAAGTGCATTTACATTTCCATTCTTTTTAATGAAATTGCATAGTGATGAGAAACAGAAAATAAACATGCAACATTGTTTACTAAGTTGAGGTTAAGTGACTGCGGATCATGGGAGTGCATCCATCCGACTGGCGAGACTTATTTTAGCATATGAATGAACCATGTCCTTGTACATACTAGTCAATGCACGTCGTTTTAGTATGGAACACCAGTTGTGTTTTCTCTTTTTTACAAAATCGTATGCAATTGATAGAATCGGTTACAGTCGATCATGAAAGTCTATATACACTTTGTAAAAGGATTTAATTATTGCACTTTTGAAAGGATTCAGTTATTGCACTTTTGAAAGCATTTAATTATTGCACTTTTGGAAGCATTTAATTATTATGAAAATGAATGACAATTTTGTGTGATATGTTCGCTTGGTATTATGGGGGACAATATTAATTATATTTTTTACTGAAACATCCTTTATGACTGTGATGGGTGAATTTTCAAATTTACAAATTTAATAATTTGAGGCTTGAGATTTATGAAGCTGGAGATTTAGAAATTTAAAAATAGGGGAATCTTAGAATTAAACATTCAGAGATTTGTAAATTTGTAAATTTAAAAATTTTGAAATACTGAAATTTGGATATTTGGAAATTTGGAGGTACCTATAGAGTTTTAAACTGTATTTGAAATAATAAAAATTTAGAAATTTAGAAATGTAGAATTGTAGAAATTTAAATATTTTAAAAGTTACGAAATTACAAAACTAAAATTAAAAAACTTAAAATGTACAAAACAATTTACTAATCTACCAAGTTAAATTTACAAATCTACAATTGTTCAAATTTACAAACCTAGATATTTTAAAATCTAGAAATGTGCGAATACAGCATCTTTGAAAAGTCTGAAATGAAGGAAAAAATCTATTCAAGAAAATAGTAAAATTTTCAAAATGTACAAATATTGTCAAAATTAGCCATACACAAATGTAGGTAAAATCAGATGTAAGCATTTTCCTTGTTTAAAAATTACGGTCATAAAAAATTCGAAAAATCGAAACACTATCAAAAGCCGAAAATTAAAATGAAACAAAAATTATTTCATATCCCGTTCTTTTTCACAAAAGGTATGTTTTGATATATGTTTATTATTGTGAGAGAACCTACAAAGCGTGTTTATTGAATCATTGAAATTGATACGATAACAAAATTATCGTATTTGATAAAAAATACACATGTTGAAAAAATCGTAAGATATGCATCTGTAAACATAATTTGTTTTAGTGTACGTACTGGGAAAAAAGATAAGGAACTCCATTGGAGATGTGTAATTATGCAATTATAAAAATAGTTTAACGACAGTCATTACTCTTAGACACGATCTTTGTTGTTACCGTGATCGATCGTTATATTTGTTAAACGTTTTACGATGCGGTTTTATCGAATTATAGTTGATAACTTGACTCGGGATAAAATTTTGCATTTTTATTTGTAGTTTGGTCAAAAAAGAATATGTAAATTCCAATCAATAAATTACGAATCGAATACTTAATAAAAATAAAATCTTACAAAATTATTATTCGAAATAAAATATAATGATTTTGGAAATTATTAACTTGACTGAATTGGTGATTTTTTAATGGTAATGTATTTGTATATTAATTTATTTTGTATCAGTTTAAATAGTTGATTTATATTAATGTATACAATTACTTTGTATATTAACATAATAATTAATAAATTTATTTCATTTATATTAATTTGGATTAATTAATACAATTAAATTTTATAAGAATTTATATAATTTCATTTATATTAATTTGCATTAATGGATACAATTAAATTTTATACTGCTGCATATAAATTAATATTAATATTAACATGAATAATTAATACTATTTAATTTTATGACTATTTACATTCATTTATAAGAAACAATTTTATGTCAACTTAATTACTCAATTTATATTAATTTATGCAATGCAATTGCATACTAATTCCAACTATTAAATATACACATTTCTACGTACATTTAAAATTCTATGTACGTATAATAAAATATATGAATACTATCTTCGTGAAATCATACCTAATGTATTATTAATTTCTCTATAAAAATGAAGTTCTTTCCCGCAGACAGCAGGTAAACAAATACTATATCCTTCACAAAAAAGTAATCAATGCAAGTCTAAAAGCATAAAATTTTATTTCAAGTATTAATTTTATAAATCTCGTGAAAAAGTTATTATTTAAACATGAAGAGTCGAGATAAATAAGGATGCCGAAACAAAACTATGAAAATGAATGTAAATAAAATTTTAAATGTCAAAATTAGTATAACAACATTTTGTTTATCAAAATATTATTTATTGATGATTATTTCTAGTGAGAGAGTGGTTTTTTAAAAAAATGGCGTTGTCAGCCATTTTAACTGCCTTCATAAATTTTGTGTTTAAATCAGATCCGTTTTTTAAATCGATTTTAATATAGCAATTTTTTTATTTTATTAAGAAAAAATAGAGATTGGACTTGATCTTCATTTTTAGCTGGAAAGCAGAATTCAATTATTGTATTATTAATTATTAATTCAGTTGCGTTAATTAAAGGATTTCAGACACGTTATTTATAAATAATGCCAATTACAAATGAGGCTTATCGATTACAAATAAGTATTATTAATAACAAATAAATGTTCTCAATTATAAATAAATAGTGTCAGTTACAAATGAAGATTATCAATTACAAATTAGTGTTGTTAGTACAATAAATAATGTCAATTTGAAAATTAAAAAATTGCAATTTTGGAAATTTAAAAATTTCCAATTTCTCAATGCAAAAAATTGCTAATTTGAAAATATAAAATTGTAAATTTGAAAATTAAAAAATTGTTAATTTGAAAAGTTAAAAATTGTAAATTTCAAAATCACAAAATTGTCAATTTGAAAATTTAAAAATTGACAATGACAACCAAACTTTGCCAATATAGCATTACATAAATAAATTTTGTATAGATAAATATTTCCACCTAGGAATATTTCCAGCTACTAATATTTCCAATTACAAATGCTACTAACAAATAAGAGTAACCACCATAAAAATATTAGCAATTACAAATAAATATTGTCAACACAGTTGAACGCATTCGTCACAAAGTAAAATTTATGCAAATATATTAAATAACGTCATATTTGGGGAAAACGAATGATTCTTATAATTTTTATTTAAAATACACCCAGTTCAGGACAATCACGCAGGTAAACAGGTATTTCGTTGATAGCAGAATGCGCAAATTATTGAATGCGCATGCACAGTATGCACACGTGTATGCAATATGCCTGGTTTTACGAACCGAGCATGTTCCACGTGCCTGACCTCAGCTTCTGATCTTCCACGAGTTAACAAACAAGTAACCTTCCGTTACATAATACCTTGCGTTTCCACGTGTAATGTGATCTGCTCGAATCAGGAAAACTGATTGTTCGTAGCTGGAAAAGAATTCCTTATGGTATACTAATATCGTCGGAAATAGTCGCAGACCGCATTTACATTTTTTCTTGTTACCGGCGCCTTCCATTAAATTGCGCAATAAGTGTCACTCTCTGGAACGCAGTTTCACAAACTACGACCATTCATCAAATTAGCCATAAACGTTGATAATATTGCAATTTTTGCGGTAGCGATGGGCGATAGTGTTGATGTATTATGGAGGCAAACGGAGACAGAGTTAGGAGTAGATATGTGCAATTCTTTCATTTTCAAATTTGCAAATTGGCAATTTTATAATTTTCAAATTGGCATTTTTTCAATTTTCAAATTGGCAATTTCTTAATTTTCAAATTTTCAAATTTGCAATTTTTACATTTTCAAAGTAACAAATTTTTAAATTTTCAAATTTGTAATTTGTAATTTGTAACTTTTACACTGTGAAATTAGAAATTTTTAATTTTTCAAAATTGCAATTTTCTAATTTTCAAATTAGCAATTTTTCAATTTCCAAATTCGCATTTTTTGCATTTTCAAATTGGCAATTTTTCAATTTCCAAATTTGCAATTTTTACATTTTCAAAGTAACAAATTTTTAAATTTTCAAATTTGTAATTTGTAATTTTTACACTGTGAAATTAGAAATTTTTAATTTTTCAAAATTGCAATTTTATAATTTTCAAATTGGCATTTTTTCAATTTTCAAATTGGCAATTTCTTAATTTTCAAATTTTCAAATTTGCAATTTTTACATTTTCAAAGTAACAAATTTTTAAATTTTCAAATTTGTAATTTGTAATTTTTACACTGTGAAATTAGAAATTTTTAATTTTTCAAAATTGCAATTTTCTAATTTTCAAATTAGCAATTTTTCAATTTCCAAATTCGCATTTTTTGCATTTTCAAATTGGCAATTTTTCAATTTTCAATTTTTCAATTTCCAAAATTGCAATTTTCTAATTTTCAAATTAACAATTTTTCAATTTCCAAATTCGCATTATTTGCATTTTCAAATTGGCAATTTTTCAATTTCCAAATTTGCAATTTTTACATTTTCAATTTAGCAATTTTTAAATTTTCAAATTTGTAATTTTTACGTTGTGAAATTGGAAATTTTTAAATTTTCAAATTTATAATTTTTTAATTTTCAAATTGACATTTTTTAAATTTTAAAATCTGCAAAATTTCGCTTTTTGAAGTTTTCAGGGTTGAAATTTCCAAATATGTAAAATTTAAATTTCCAAATTTTCAAGTTTGAAATTTTGGAAAATTTCTAGTGAATTGCAATTGCAGTATTTCCATATTTCTTAATTTTCAACCGTCCTACCTTAAATATTTCCAAGTCATTATATTACCTTATTTTAAATTTCCAAATTTCCAAACGAATATATTGTCAAGTTCTTAATTTTTAAATTTCCAGATCTCTATATTATCAAATTTCGAATTCCTACATTTCCTTCGTTCTAAATTTCGAAATCAATTGCAAAATTTTCAACTTCTAAATTCCTTTCTAAATTTTTCAAACTAAAACTTCTTAAAACCACAATTGAAAATCTCGAAATGTTAAAAACAAAATGAAAGTGAAAGAGTAACGCTCTGTTAAAGAAGACAATATCATAACACATTTAGTTTGGAAAATTCTGTATTATCAACCAGTGTCAAGATTAATGGTACATATTATATAGATAACTGAACGTCATATTTGTTACAAAGTTAATGACCTACTTTGCAACAGAGAATGGTGTAATTAAAGATTATCATTAATTCATTATTTAATCTTAAACCTTGTCCTGTATTTGATTGACGTTAACGTGTTTGCAATTATTAACGTTATTTGTTTCATCTCCACGTGCAGCAGAATTCTTGATATTAAGGTGGTCGTGTCAAGAACACTCTAAATAATTATGAAATTGCTTCAGAATTCAACTGATACGCATAATACAGTAATGGCATCTAAATGTTGGCAAAATTTCGAAAAAGTTAATCGCGCAGAAATAACTGTGTTTTGAAATATTAGGGGCACCGAAAAGTAATCAAAATTTTGTTATCTAGCGAAAAATATTTACTTATTAAAGAAATTTTAAATCAACAAAATAATTTCCATCACTTTCTAACGCTTTTTGCCAGCGTAAAGGCAATTATTCCCTTCCTAAAAAAGTCCTTCGATTTTTCATAGAAAAACTTTGAAATCATCGAAGAAATTTTGATTGCTTTTCGGTACCACTAATATATCTATAGTCATAGACTTTTCTAGTGAAAATGGCGATTTGGAGGAGGGAGGTCTTGTCCGCCGTTCAGTTTTTGTTTACCGTTAACTTTTCGAATTTTTGAAGTAACTATCAGATTTTTAGCTTTTAGAACTAGTTAAAAATTTTAGATGTTTGAGGAATTTGAGACGTTTGAGAAAGTTTGAATATTTGAAGAATGTGAAGAGTTGAGGAATTTGAGAGGCATGATAATTTTGAGGAATTTGAGAGACTTGAAGAACTGGAGGAACTCGAAGAATTTGAGGGGCTGATAACTTTGATAAATTTGAGGAATTTGAAGCATTTGAGGGACTTGAAGAACTGAAGAAACTCGAGGAAATTGAGGGGCTTGATAAATTTGAGGAATTTAAGGTACTTGGAGAACTGGAGGAATTCGAGGAATTTAAGGGACTTGATAAACTTGAAAAATTTGAGGAATTTGGGGGACATGATAAATTTGAGGAATTTAAGAGACTTGAAGAATTGGAGGAACTTGAGGGATTGGAGAAATTTAAGGAATTTGTGGAATTTGAGAAAATCCTGACTGATTTTAGGAATTTGAGAAATTTGAAGAATTTAAGAAATTTGAAAAACTTGAGGAACTTGAGAAATTTTAGGAATTTTAAAAATTTGAGAAATTAAGAAGTTTATACAGTTAGAAATTTAACAGTTTAAAAATTTGTGAGTTTAGAAATCTTAAAAGTTAGATTATTGGAAATTAGTAAATTTGAACAATTAGAAATGTGGATATTTAAAACTTGAGATTGCTTCTATTGAAACTTAATTGGAACTAAATTTAAAAATTTAAATAACTGAAAATTTGAAAATTAAAAAATTTTTACTTTTGAAAATTTGCACATTTGAGTCTTAAAAATCTGAAATCTAGCAATTTGAGAAAATGCATCTAAAATTTGAATATTTGTAAACAGGAATATAAAAGGATATATTTATATGTAATAAAAGTGGTAATATTTTTTATTTCTCTAAAAACTCAGAAGTTTATACAAAAATATACAATATATGCTCGAAAAGAATTAGAAAATGGAGATGGTTCATCATGCAGTTTCAATTTGAATTGTTATTTTTGAAAGATAAACTTTTTAAAAGAGATCGATAATCATCATTGCAGCAACAGATAGCGATTAATCGATGTTCTCTGCAAGTATTTGCGTGAAGAAATCGACAATCCGCCAGTTTACATTGACGGGGTAAATCCTGGACATAGAAATCCGTGCAGCAACATGCATCGTGCAATAATTTTTCTCCGCAGTAAGGATAAACCGAACTGTCGCACAGAGGACATCTTCTGAAAGCAAAAATTTCTTTAATGAAGAAATTAAATATGACGTTTGAAGTCTTATTACAGATATTGAATAAGATTTTTATTGAAAAAATGTGTGGAATTAAGTACAACGTAGGATACCTTTGGTTAAAGGCAAATGTACAAGAAAGGGTACTTTGCATTCTTCATTTTGGGGATCAAATAGAGGATTTATTTGAATCTTTAAATTACTTATTTTCCGAATTTTCAAATTTCTAAATCTCTAAATTCTTGAATTTTCTAAATTTCCATATTCCCGAACTTTCAAATTCCGAAAATTCGTAAATTCCCACTTTCCCAAATTCCCAAACTCCCAATTCCCCAATTCTCCAATTCCTAATTCCCCAAATTCCCAATTCCTCAAATTCCCAATTCCTCAAATTCCCAATTCCTCAAATTCCCAATTCCTCAAATTCCTAATTCCCCAAATTCTCAATTCCCCAAATTCCCAATTCCTCAAATTCCCACTTTCCCAAATTCCCAAATTTCCATTTCCCCAATTCTCCAAATTCCCAATTCTCTAAATTCCCAATTCCCTAAATTCTCAATGCCCTAAATTCCCAAATCCCTAAATTCTCAATTCCCTAAATTCCCAATTCCCTAAATTCCCAATTCCCTAAATT